AAGGAGGTTCATCATAAAGATGTAGTAGGAGCAGCAACATGTGATCGATGTGGAAAAATGTTCCAGAATAAAAGTAACTTAAAAATACATATGTTGACTCACAGTGGTGTTAAACCTTTCAAGTAAGAATATTATGTTTTAATTTGTTTTATTATTAAATAGTATTAACTTTGTATTGTATAAATATTTTTTGTATATATATTTATGTAATATTTTTTAAGAAAGTTGCATCTTTCACAGATGTAAAGAAAATGGTTGTAAAGCTGCTTTTACTACAAAGCAATGTTTGCAATTTCATTATAAAAAGGTACATGGTCTCACAGAGGAAATGATGCCTAAAATTGAAAGATCCGTTGCATATACTTTTGATGCGTACAGTGGTGGTCTTGTGGAAGATGTTGGACGTGGCAAAACTCCTCGTTTGAGTAGAAGAAATTCACAAGTATGTATTTACTATATTTATAATAATATAGTAGATAAAATAGATCAAATATTCGGAAATATAAATATTTTGTTCTTATTGCAGGATAACAGCAACAGTTTACTATCTTTGGATGAATGTAGTTCAGAAAGTAGTTTGAGAGTTGAAACAACTACAAATTCTACACATCCTGCTATAATGGAGTTTCCAACTGGTACGAATACTACACCCAAATATACAGTGGAGCATGATACTAAAGTATCGAATGCTTCTACGCGTATTACAATGCCTGTGTCAAGTGGTATTGATACAAACATAGAGAATGTACGCACAGATGTAGATTTGTATGCCGCATCTAGAATACAAAGTAAAGGAAGCAAAAAATGGTTAGGTGAATTTAATCCTACAACAACGTCGGACTTACCAACTTCTCACTTACAACCTGCCCCACAAGATGTATATGAATTTGAAGATAGCAGAAAAGAAGAGGAAGAGAAAACAGTGTCTACAACTGCTACAACACAATCTTTAATAGATAGTAGTAAGCTAGGCCTTAGTGTATACAGAAGAACAGAAAGTGCAAATGCTAGCTTACTCGTTGAAGCAGCTTTAGATGCTGCTGAGAGAGATATAGGAGCAGTTTCTAGTCCAATATTGGAAGACAATGATCGCGATGCAAATTTATATTCTATTTCTACACAATTACAGTCACCATTACCGCAAAGATCTCCAAATCATTTAGACTCGTACATGCAACAGCAGGATGAATTAATATCACCAGCACCTACACCAGATAATCGACATACTCCGCCTAGTCACTTGCACGTAGATTATCATCTTCATCGGCCAGTGGATTATATGAGTGCATCAAGAACACATAATATTGAACAGTATCTACATCACGAAGATCTACCACGTGTTTCTTCTCCAAATAGTTATATTCACATACAGCAAGAGGACTTGGTATCTCCTTCAGCTACACCAAATTCGCGATATCAAGATATACACCATCACCATCAAATGCCCACTGATAATTTATCGAGCGACGAAGGTGACTCAGTAGCTCAAAATCTTAGTCTTTCTGTCAAAGAGAAAGCGTTACAATTAGATTTGTCAACGTCATATAAGTACGATCCTCTTGAGTCAGATTTTGGTCGAGAGAGATCTAACTTTGAACCTCTTGTATTGAATAGCGGAGAGCTTCAAGGTTTAGATATGTCAGCTAGAGGATTTCATCATAGTTTTGGTTCTCAAGTACAAAATGCAAGGTATCATCATCATCATTTATATGAAATAACTGAACGGCAAAGTGTCGATCTCAGTAGGACAGGTGGCTATTCCATGTCTCCGCCACCACCACCTCCTCCACCCTATTCTCATAGTGATGTTTTGCGGGTTGTTAGTTTAGATCTTACACCTGGTGGAAGACATAGTGTTGATCTAAGTCTTTCAAGATCACATCATTTACATGGTTCTGGAACTCGTGTTATTACTAGCCCGCAACCAGCTAGTTCTTCTAACCCGCATATAGTACCTGACACCGTTGAAGGAAGAATTTTATCTCCACCTCCGCCTCCCTTAACAGGATACAATCCAAGTTATCCTGTAAGCCCAGCTCCATATCATCCTCCCAGGCCAGCATACCATCATTATTCTGGTTATTATTAATAATTCTTAACATAAATCACGCAAACCCTAATTTTAAAATTATATTTTAATTATGAAGCAAATTCATATGCAGAGCTCAATTCTGCAGTTTGTATACGATATAATGATGAAAAACATCGTTACACTATTTTATTTTAATCTTATACAACCATACATGATGTATATAAATGAAAGGTTTTAGAAAAACTATTGTTTTATTTATAGTCTTTGTTATCGACTCTATGTCATTTGTCAATATGATTATTTAAGCTGGCATTTTACGATTTAAAAAACCTTTATCGTATTCTTGAAAATTTATTTTAATAAATGATACTCGTATTGTCAGGTCGGTTAAGAAAACTGCCACTTTATAATATATGTATTTATAAGATAGAAACAGATTATTTCGTATCATAATAACTTGTTTCTCTAGATAAGGGAGGGAGAACATTTTTGTTTTATCAGTTAATTTATATATTTCAGTTTCTATTAGAAAAAGATCTTATGTTCAAACTAAGGACGAGAAGCTTTTATCAAAAGTATAAATATGACATATTAATAATATATGTTGTATTATCGGTATGACATTAGGATCTGAATTATGCACACAAAAAAAAGAAATATATTTGCATTAAGACGATACATTATATCATTTCCAAAGTATCTGTATGAAAGAAAGATCTAGTTCAGCAGATGCAACAGTATGTGTGTGATATAAGTGTGATACGTGTATGTATGTATGCATCCTTTAAATTAAATAATATTATTTTTTTAAGGTATTGGATAATGAAACTTTATGAATAGCTCTGTTCTAGAAATTTAAGCTGTATGAACGTTAAAAATGATTAAGTTCTCTTCGGTTATGTAGCTATTAGATCTATTATTTATTACATTCTTTTTTCCATTTTTATACAAAAAAAAAAACATGCCATATATAATGGTTATCCCCTGTTAATATGGATCATTGGAATAGATCAATTTCAGATATCATGATCCAGTACCACGTCCGTGATAATTAATGTTATAAAAAGTTGTTACTTAGCTTCTAGCTTATATTCTTCTATTTCAGATATATACTCCCCTACAAAAAATACTCCATATAAGATGAGATTAGTCACTATTTCATATTAGTAACATCCTGGGTAGGATTTGACATTGCCGTCATGTATATTTTTCAAATTAAGAATATGTGGTATATAAAAAAAAGAAAAAAAAACAATTTTAACGTATGATATTATGCTTATTATTAAAAGCAGAAAGTTGTAGTTCATAAATAATATGTATTTAAAGTTATTATCTCATTGGTATGCAATTTTTCGAAAATAACACACAACGTATATTTAATGAATTATTTATAACATTACTATATACAAGGTATATAATGTAATAAAGTTGCAGACAAATGATTTAATTACTTTAAAGGTACAAAAGAAGATTGTAGCAAATAGTATTACCCAGGATTTTAAAATTTATGAAATAATTCAATCAGGATGCCTAATGGTAGTACTAAGTATACATCTGTATGGTGATAACAAATTATAATGTTCTTTTTTATTCTAGTCATTATGTACGTGTAATAAAACACATTAGCTATGTAATGAATGGTTTTTGCTATTGCAGATGAGTGCAAAGCATAGCATATACAAATAGAATTTTGAAAAATATGTAATCTTAAACATATTTCTTTATTCTTAATATTATCTTTTCAAGTATCGTGTCAAGCTTATTCTAAGAAATGCTCAAAGAAAACAAACTTTAAATACAGGAATAATATAGAACAGTATAAGTTTATATATTTTTTTTAATTCATGTTATTAATTGTACTATGAAATAATTATGAGATTTTGATTGAACATATGCATTTAAATATACATAATAATAATTTTGTATATAATAAACATTTATTTGTACATTATGTTCAATAACGCGCATGTATTATTCATTATGTGCTCATTTGCAAAATCCATATTTATTATTTGCGTGTAGCTTCCAACTTTTTATGATTGCGCTCACTAGCCATTTATTGAAACCAAAGATCTAGATCTATTGTAACTTTTGTGCCAAATTACGAGGCGCTCATTTTTATGTATACAACTTTAATTAATATAAATATCATTTCTTCACTCTATAGGTGTACAAAAAAATACTGTTTTAATAATATTAAAATTTAATGATATTTTCTCAAATTTTGTGATTATTTTATTTTATATGCGTATACATTGTGTATGAAAATATGTAAAAATGTTTTACATTTATATATATATATATAATTTATATATTTTTCTTTTTATTTTTATAATTATTGCCTGTAGAAAAATGCAAATGATTTTTTTTAAATTTAACATACAATTTCTGTAAAATCTTTGATTTATATTTTTTGAAAAAAAAATATTAATTATTGGTGCACATATCTGATTGTCACAATGATTATATTTTAATTTACTGTTAAATTGGGTCATATGTTTATATTATTTTTACAATAATGAGATTATAAAAATAATATAAAATATAGTAAATAGATATCTGTCATTTTAGGACAATGATTTGAATTAATTTAAGTTACATATTAATTGTACTCAGTTCAGTTAAAAATGTATTTTATATATTATACATAATGTTAAAAAAAAAGCTTAAGATGAAAAATATCGTAAAAATTATGCAAAATTCAAAAGAATTAAAATTCACGAGTACAAATGTGGCACAGAATATATTTGTATCGGGTTTATTAATATTGTAATAATAATAGAATATAACAGTCATAAAACAACCCAAAATAATCTATTTGGATTCTTTATTCATTTATATTACCCTTATCTTATTATTTATTATATTTAAATATTATTTTATACGTGTCTAAATTTACCTGTAATAATCTGTAAAGGTTTTTAAATTTGGCGCCTCAAATGGCTGTCGATATTTGCTCCAGCGCTGCGTACACACACATATACACAGTCGTCTTTTCACACTTTCGTGAAGACGTTAAAGAATACGAAAATGGCTTGTTCTGCCGTACGCTCACCTATTCTCCGTAATTCGACGGTAATTATGAACTCTTTTGTATTTTTATTTATAATTATTTATAAAAGAAAAATATTGGTAATATAAGTTTAATTATCAAATGTAAAATACCATCATGCTTCTGAGATATTTCTGATTAGTATATGTTATATAAATGATTACGAATCTACATGTCAGCAGCAAGCTTTTAAATGTCTATTTGTCTCATACTCTAATATTTATCTATACTAATTGTAATTTTGTAATTATTGTGACTGTAATTACATCTTTTATTTATTATAAATGAGATTAATAAATATTGTAATAAATAATATCATTACTTTTTTCATTGACAATATTTCATTTGATATTGTTGAATCTTGAAATTTATCAATCAAATTATATTAATTATATTTTCTTGCTTACCTGTAATTAAGAAATTAATATGAAATATTTATATTTTAGGTGAGACATTATGCAACTGCCACTGCCGCCCAGGCTTGCTCCTCAACCAATCTTGAATCTAAAACATTAAATAATAAAGTTTTTGCAGTAGCTCTTGAGAATAATAGTCCCATATCACAAATTTCTATTGTTTTCAGGTAAATTTAAAAAATGAATACAAAATATCATTTTAATTAGTAATCATGTTTGGGGTGTAAAGTGTATCTTGAGTCTTATATGTTGTTGGTATAGTGCAAGGGGGGTTAATTTAAATATTTTAATTAAGATATTGATGAAGGATAGCCTAATGAACTAATCATAAGTAATTTTTATGTTAAGGGCTGGCCCACGTAATGAAACTTATCACAATCAAGGTATTAGTCATCATTTGCGTATTTTAGCTGGTTTGACAACATGTCGTTCCAGTTATTTTGCTATAACCAGAAATATACAGCAACTTGGAGGAAATATAATTGCTACCAGTGATCGTGAAAGTATTGCCTATACGTTGCAAGTTACACGAAATAATTTGTAAGCTAAATTTGTATTTTTATTTTCTTAATATATTTCGTTAAATTTATGGAGAAAGGAAAAGTTTGAATATTTGTATATTTTACTAGGAATGAAGCTTTAAGATTTTTAGAAGATGTTGCTACACAACAAGTATTTAAACCATGGGAAATACCAGAACAATTACCTAGATTACGTTACGAGTTATCAACAATACCTGAAACTACTCGTGTACTTGAACTTCTTCATAGAGCTGCTTATCGTACAGGTCTTGGCAATTCTTTGTTTTCTCCAAAGCGACAAGTAGGACGAATTAATTCAGAAACTGTAAGTAATATTTAAATGTAATATTTTTAATATAAGCATAATTATTTAATATTAATAATCTTTCTTATTTTCTAGTTACAACATTTTGTTAATACATGGTTTACGGGATCAAGATGTTCTGTTGTTGCAACAGGTGCCCCATTTTCGGAAATATGTTCATTAGCTTCAAATTTAAATGTAAAATCAGATAATACTCAGGATATACCTACAAAATATCATGGAGGAGAACTTCGTAAAGAACGTAATTCGTCAACAGCCACTGTAGCAGTAGCTGTAGAATCTACAGGTTTAAACAAAGAAAAAGATGCTTTAGCATTAGCTGTACTACAAAGAGCTATTGGTACTGGACCACAAGTGAAATGGGGATCCAGCATGAGTCCAATTTACAAAAGTGCGTCTAGTGCAGCTGGTAAACAAACATTTGCAATATCTGCCTTAAATGCTGTTTACTCCGATTCTGGTCTATTTGGTTTTATTTTCTCCAGTGAACCTAGTATTGCTGGATCGGTTAGTATTATCCTCATAATTATTATAACATACATTTATATACAAACTTAAAACAAATTTATTATATATTTCAGTTAACAACATGTGCCTATAAATGGTTAAAGTCTCCCCAATTATCAGATGCTGATATTTCTCGTGGTAAAAATATATTGAAGGCTGACATATTATATTCTACTGAAAATGAACCCGGATTATTAGAAATTCTTCAACAGCAAGCCTTACATAAAGGCACTGTTTATTCTCCAAAAGAAATAGTCGCAAACGTAGATAAAATCACTGCAAACGATGTTAAAAGTGTATGTATATTACATAGATTAAAATTTGTTTAAATGAATTTTATATAATACTAAATATAATTTATAATATATATATTTTTTTTTTTTTTTTTAGATTGCTGGAAAGTTAGGCTCAGGTAAAACAACTCTAGCTGCGATCGGTGATATTTGCAGTGTTCCAAATTTAGATGAGTTGAGTTAGATGCTAAGTCTAACATTCCTACAAAATTAGTGTCAATTGTTAATAAACATCAATTTATAATTAAGCGATGGAACGATATTATCAGTGCTTACAAAAATCAGTATATACATGATCCATTGCAGTTATAACGTGTAATGTTTCTGTACATACCAAATAAAAATAAAAACTGCTATTCTGTTTGAGTTTTATTATTATTTTTTAAATATATTTTAATATATAAGTTACATAGAAAATTTCAATGGTATAATAATTATTTATGTACATTTACCTACCATATATACAGAATTAATCTCAAGAAAGGTGAATAGCAAGTTTTTTTTTTTTTGAAAATGTAATTCCTTTAAAAATAAAAAATTAAGAAAAATATATTTTATCTATGTTAAATATGAATTACATAAAATTGTTTATTTACAGAATATATATTGTTTTGATATTCTACATGATTTTTATATGAAATTTAATTCTTTTATATTCTTTTAATAAAATTTTATTTCTTCTATAGAATAAAATTTATTGTAATTTTTGACGGAAGGCTTCAACGATTTTCCATTTATAATTCTTTGCAACATAGGCCTCAAATTTTCCAAATTCTTCAATAATTGAAACTAAAAGAAGTATATTAATAAATTTAATTTATCTGTAGAAACAAAAAAATATATTTAATACAAATACTTAAAGTAATCACTATAAAAATACTTACATGTTTCTCCAATATTGAATTCAACTTATTAAGAAGACTTAAAACTTGAGAATCTTTAGATAAAATATATTGTTGATAATGAGAATCAAGAAGAAGAACAGACCAATTGTATAACTGCTTGTTATTTGGTTCAAATGCATCAAACTCATCATCTACAGTTTCTTGATCTAATTTTTCGATTAAATAATTTAATAATCTGAGTACTTCGTCAAAATTTAAACCTGTCTTTAAGTATGATAATAAAAAAACATCAGAATAACTAATACAAAAGATTTTATCTAGAAATCGATTTCTGGTACTAAGTATTTTCTGGTCAGATATGCCATTACTCATACCATTTTGTAATGGTATAAATGTGTCATTGGAAGTTCTCAATGAAAACATTAATAAATCAGTTAATAATTTTTCAGATAAATCCTTGAAATTATTTAAACACCAATTTATTGCAATAACATCTTTAGACTCAATTAATTGCGGTATTAACACTTCTTGTATTCTTGCATCGCTTAATCCTTCAACTATGTAAGATAATATTTGTTTTGATATATTTTTCGGCATATCATCTTCCCTAAATATTGATTCCATTGGTTTTGTATTTTCCCAATGAGCTACTACTGAATCTTGCACTATAACTACTTCATCTTCTTCATTTTCATGATTATTTTTAAAGCGTACAGATGAGCCCAGCATTGCTGCTATCCTCTGTGGTGCAAGACGATATGGAGCAACAGCTAAATGTCTATTTGCTGCAAGTAATAATTTGTCCTCTACTCTCCACATTTTAGCTTCCTTTGTATAAAGCTTTAACTTTTGAGTAGCTTGGACTAATTTAAATTGCACATTGTATATCATTAAAACAGCACCTTCTTCTGATACGTCTGCTCCATAAGCAGCTATCATTGTTTCGTTTAATGCTACCATTATGACAGGATGCGTAGTATCAATATTTGTAATAACACTGATTAATTTACTTGGCTCTGAATCAGAGGTATCAATTAGCGAATGACTGTACAATCTGCCATGAGTCCCTAAAATTGAGTAGACAGTGATTTATTATTAATACTTTTATAATTAAACATAAATTAAACATAAACATTAATTAAATTATTAAAGTATTCACTTACATAAAGTTAAAAGATATGCATTAGATTTACTTTGCATTACTACATGAGAAACTAGTCCTTCTGATGTACGTTTTAATTCAATTCTTTTAACATGATCTAACTGTACATAATTATCATTATTAAGTTCGACAATAACGTAATTGTATGTTTGATCTATTTTTGTTAATCCACATAAACTTGCTTTGCCATTCAAATATATCAATTGGCAATCTAATAATTTTTCTTCAGACTTTAATATTCCTTCATCATACCAAGATTTTCTATTTTGTAATGCCCATTCTAAAGATGCTGTAGCTCCATTTTGTTGTACTACTACAGGTGGTAAATCATCATGAACTAATATAGTATGAAAGGGAAATTGAAATTTACATCCCTTTACGTTATTCAAGTCAGATTCTTCAACTGACCATACCTTAATTTTTCTTTCATTAAATACTGCTGCATATCGTTGGGCTATTTTATCATAAATTACTGAAGTTGTAAGTCTTTGTTTGCTAGACCAACTGTTTATTTGTTTCAAATCTTGCAACTAAAAATATAGAATATCCATACATTTGTATATACACATAACATTATTTCTATGAATAAATATTTAATATCTATTAACATCAAAGTATATAAAAATTGAACAAAAGATCCCTTTAAAAAAATATATGACCAATAAAAATAAATCAATTAAGTGTACAAAATATTAAAGAAGATTATATTATAGTTTTGAGTTAATTAAAATATAAAAACTAACCTTATATCTTATAACAATATTTCTTCCAAGAGTAACAATGGCACATCCTGGATCTGAATCTTTTTGGACTCCTAAGAGATTTTGTTGGTCGATTAGCGGACATAACGTGTAGTAGGAACTGAGTTTTGCCATTTTATTAATTTTGTATTAAAAAACCAAACATGCCCATAAAACGCGGTAAACTAAATTACACGTGAGTATTCGCGGCACAAGTTTTGATATAATGGAATACACATTCAACTTCACACAATTGACTGCAGTGACCTCTGAAACAATAATTTGAAGTTGGCCATCAATGCCGTACATATAAATAACTTCAGAGGGCACCACGTGAAAAAAAGCATGGCGTAAATGCGAATATAACGGTTATGGCGTCAGTGAATGCAATGAACATCTATTTACAGACAATTCTCGATGACGAATATCGTCTTATCGTGTAGTAATATACTATAAAAAAATGGCTGAACCACAAGAGCAAAAGGGTAAAGAAAATACAAGTGGTGGATTAAAAGATGCAATGGTGAAACACGAGAAACGGGAGGGTACGCTGACAAATGGCGGGAAGGGATCCGGTGATGATGCGGACAGTCTTGAAGAATTACCTCTGGATATTGGCGAACATTATCTTGTTCGAAGATCCGATGATTCGTGGCGTAAATAAACTATACCATATATGATCATTTATTCTATTTGTTTTAATTTTTTTCATTTATTATTCTTTAGTTCCTTTTGTTTTGTTTTTTGTTTTCTTACTTTGTGCCGGCTTTTACACGATTCTTTATAAAGTATTTTCATGAAAAATTACCAATAACAATTTAATATTGTTATGTATAATGAATATTATATGAATGAAGATTTTACAAATTGATAATTTAAAGTTATAGATCTGTCAATTTTCCTTTTTCTTTTCCTTTTCTTTTACTTCAAAATATCAAGTCTATGTTTTTATACAATTAAAAGTAGAATACTAATTATTAATGAATTATTAAATTTAGATCCTGCTGAAATTATTCAAACACGTTACAATGAAAATGAAAGTCATTATGAATACTATGTTCATTATGAAGGACATAACAGAAGATTGGATGAATGGGTACCTCGTGATAGAATTATGTCCAGTAGATTTGATATGAGTGATAGAAGTTGGAAAACCGGTGATAGAAATTCTACCAGTGATTTATTAGCAGATTCTTCTGATCGTAAGATAACTAGGAATCAAAAAAGAAGACATGATGAAATTAACCACATACAAAAGGTAAATTATTATTTAAACTACGAATAAAATTTACCTTTAAATTATAACTTCTATCGTTATACTTTTTTTAGACTTATGCAGAAATGGATCCAACGACTGCTGCTTTGGAGAAAGAACATGAAGCTATAACAAAAGTTAAATATATAGACAAAATTCAAATTGGTAAGTGTGTTGATTTATGCATTTAAAATATTTTTAATACAGTGCATATTTATCATTAAATAAGTCTCATGACTTTTAAAAGTTTCATTGTAGGTAAATATGAAATTGACACTTGGTACTTCAGTCCATATCCAGAAGAATATGGTAAACAACCGAAACTTTGGATTTGCGAATACTGTTTGAAATATATGCGTCTTGAAAAAACATATAGATATCACATGGCAAGAACAATTTTTTATTTTAATTGTTTATGTATTATTCATTATATTGTAAACGTGAATTATTTCATTTTCAGAGCGAATGTACTCATAGACAGCCTGTTGGAAAAGAAATATATCGTAAAGGAACGCTAAGTATTTGGGAAGTGGATGGTAGAGAGCATAAAATTTATTGCCAGAATCTTTGCTTATTAGCAAAATTATTCTTGGATCACAAAACGCTTTATTTTGATGTTGAACCTTTTCTTTTCTATATTTTATGTGAAGTGGATAAACACGGAGCACATTTAGTTGGATACTTCTCTAAGGTAATAAATGTTTTCTATTAAACATTAAATAATCAAGTAAGTAATATTGCTTCAAATATAAAAGTCTTTTTTATTCGTAGGAAAAAGAATCTCCCGATGGCAATAATGTAGCTTGTATATTAACTTTACCTCCGTTTCAAAGACAAGGATATGGAAAATTACTTATTGCTTTTAGTTATGAACTTAGTCGAATTGAACAAACCGTTGGAAGTCCAGAAAAGCCATTAAGTGACCTAGGAAAATTATCTTATCGTAGTTATTGGAGTTGGATACTCTTAGAAATCCTTAGAGATTTCCGTGGTACACTTAGCATTAAAGATTTAAGGTAAACTGCCAATAATTGCACATTATATACAAAAATACAGTGTGTGATTATCCACTATAAATTTAAATATTTAATTGAGCATTATTTTTTCAGCCAAATGACTAGTATTTCACAAACGGATATCATATCGACATTGCAAAGTATGAATATGGTAAAATATTGGAAAGGCCAACACGTAATTTGTGTGACCCCTAAATTGGTCGAAGAACACATAAAAAGTAGTCAGTACAAAAGACCCAGACTTACTGTAGATAGTAGCGCATTAAGATGGGGTGCACCACCTCGAAAAAATGTAAAACCTGGTAAAAAGTAAAATACGAAACGATTAAACTTAATAGTTTGTATTTTTTTTTTTGGACTAATTAGATGTTATCAATAAGATAAGACTAATGACAGAAAGATACGTCATAATATTAAATCTATATGTATACAGAATCTACATAAAATTTTTTACTTAACCGGAAACAACTTATATAAAAACAAACGAGCTGGTGTGATATCATACAGTATTAATATAATTAACAATTTTCTTGTATAAATTCGATAATTAATAAAATATATTTATCAATGTATATTCTATCAGATAGAGCCAATAATACCTTTAAAATAATATTAATAATTAATTATAGTTTTGCAATAGACGATTTGTGAGCATTTATAGCTAATTGTACAGCATATTGAGCTGTACCAGGAGCTGTACAAACGCCGTAACCGCCATGTCCATAATTATGTATTACCTATAGCAAACAAAAAATGTTTGATAATTTATATTTCTAATCAAGAAATATGATATCGCTACTAACCGTAGTTTTATCATATCCATCAGAAATGAATTCTGCTTCTACTCTAACACCACCATCTCTATATGGTCTTAGACCTACTTCTTCTCTTATATTTTCAACCATTTTGAGAGATGGTACAAGTGTCTCGCACCGAGTACGAATCGCAGCAGATTCATATGGACATAATTTTAGATTTTCAGAATCGAAATTTCTTGTTCCACCTAAAGTAACTACTCCATTAAATCCAGGAATTATATAAGTATCTAAATCACCATAAAAAAAAGTTTTTAACCAAGGAGCAGCGACCTACTCATTAAAAAATATATGCAAAATTAATTTCTATATTAATAAGAAATATAATAAAAATTATATTTATATACAAAAAACATACTTTAATTACTTGTCCACGTATTGGAACCATACGTCTATCAGTGCATAAATTTCTAGCCCCAAGTCCGGTACAATTCATTATTATATCATAATCTTTAATTAATTCTTTGAATGAATCTATTTGCTGTCTCTTTATAATAGCTCCGTTGGCTTTTAATCTATAAAATAATATTAAGAACTTATCATTGATTATCATATATGATTTATGATATAAGAAGATAACTCACTGTTGTAAAGTCCATGGGAGATATAATTTACATTCTGTAAGCAATGTTGTAAAGAAGCAACCAAATTTCCAATCACCTCCAACTAATTGAAATTCTTCTTCTGTTACATTTCTATATATCGGCACCAATTTTTCCATCCAATGATTCTATTTGTCAATAATTTTAATGAAAAAGAAAATTATAATCTTTTATAAAGAAAACGCATAATTATGTTTTGTTATTTACAAATGAGTACGTGAGTGAGTTGGAAAGTTTTGAGTTTTAATAAAAAAATTTTTTATGTTAGACTCAAAACTTTTCAACCCACCCATAATTTGTAAATAATAAATATCTCATTAAAACCTTTATGATATTTAAAGAATTGGCAAACATATAGCCCGAAATACTTGTTACTCCTGCTTGAGATGCATTGGGTAATTTACTTATATCATCGTAAAATGAATACGAATCCTCTATCCATTTCCTACAAAAAATAGTTGTGAAAATGTCCTTACATTTATTAAAATAAAAAACAAAATATATGTACAATGAAAAGAACAAGTTACATCTATTATTTACCTTGTTATCTCTTCGTTAGGTCCGCAATATGATGATCCGACACGGAATATTCCTGCTGCGACATTACTAACAATATTATCCAAATTGGAAGCATAAATTGTTATTTCTGCATTATGTAATGTACGTTGCATTTGTAAAGCAGAGGTTAAACCAACTGCACCACCTCCAATTACTGCAATTTTCATTTTCTCTCTAAAGTAAGAAATAATTTTACTGTATGGATTATCACTTCTTCTTTACTGATTTCAAAAAAAAAAAACTTCTTCGAAGATAACAATTGTTATCTACTAAAAGAAACATTACAGTACAACATCCTATTGCTTTGCATACAGCTATGTAAATATCATATACATATTTTTGAAAGTTTAAACTTTGAAAATATGCAAGAAAAAAAGATCGGATAGTTCCTTAATAAAAAATAAATTACTTATTGTTAGCTTTGTATTACAACAACATTATTTTTGTTCATATAAATTAATGCATATATTGATCAAGTATCACATGATCATCCGCATTTACTTTCAAAAGTGTCATATTAAAATTCGGTGAAACATAATTATTATATACTTTCAATGATTATTGGATGTTTACAACGTTATGGTTAAATAACAGAGTCAAAATTTACCTTGTTCCTTTATTTAAATGATTAGTTTTTAGTTAGAATTATTTCTAATATCAACCGTACACATATATGTACGCATGTAATATATATATATATATATATACAAGTCTCATTAATTTCTTTGCATAAAAATTACAAAGCAAGAAAAAACTTTGTCAAATGCTAACTAAAAATTATTCACAATTTTTCAAAAACGAACACTCTGTGCTGACAAAACTACAAAAATAAAATATACACATATGTTTATCCTTAATATATTAGCGATGTTTCTAATATTTTAAACATTTATTTATGCATTCTTTTTTCGTTTGCTATCAAAAATATACCAATGCAATTAATCATGAAAAAACAGGATGTAGTTTATGTTGGAACAAGGATTAACGTAAGTTTCTTTTTTTTTCTTTTTTTTCTTTAGAATACTATATCACCCTAGTTATTGCAATCGACCAGCTATTTACAAAAGCAATAAATTGCATTATCTCAAATCATTTTCTCACTCTCCAGCACAGGAAATAGTATTTGAGAGTATGCTTCGTTACTTCTCTTCATACCAAATATTCTAGGATTGTATTTTCCCACAAAGATGAACTGGTATAAATTGGCTATTTCATGATTACTATATAAAAGAATTGTACAATAAGATAAAATCGAAGTTTCAATAAAAAAGTAGACATATTGTGATTGAATGCTTATGCCTTAGTACAAGGTTGTATCGTGTAATTTAATGGTGGTGGAGGAACTAAAAGTGGTAATGGAGTTGGTGGTGGTGGAGCTTGTACTGGAGTTGGCGTTGGAACGATTGATGGTGTTTCAGTAGCTCTAATTGTACCACTATAGGCTGACAGATAACTGGGCCATAAATTTGGAGGCGGTGGAGAACCTGGTGGCGGTGGCGGTGGTGGAAGATCATCCAATTCATCAGAATCTTCTATCATCATAGCAGACAAAGGAGTGACGCGTGGTTTCTTTAATTTAATTATTTTTACCTAAAATATTAATGTATATATAATACGTATTTTAACAAGAAATTATTTAATACATTATAATATGTATAAAAAGTTATACTCTTAACTTTGTTAACATACTTTAACTTTTTTCTTTGTTTTGGGATATCTTGCTCTTTTGTCTTTCTTCATTCTTTTAGAAATGGACCTCTTTAAGTCGCAAGAATTGTCCTGGGATATCATACTTGAAGGGGGAGGCGGAGATGGCATATCTCCTTCTCCACCGCTAGGACTAGTACCTTCGCCAGGTTTAACACCGTCCGCAAATTGAACAGATTTCTTTATTCTTCTTTTCTTCTGCGATGATTTTAACTTTAACTTCATTCTATGCTTTATCGCGTTAATTTTATTCTCAACGGTATTATCGCTTTTGTTAACATCACTTGATTTTTCTGTTTCCACTTCCTCTTTATCCATACTATCTTCATTATCCTCATCTAATATAGAAAGATTATCTATGTTCCCATTAGAAAATGTATCTTTTCTATAATTCAAAAATATATATATATATATATATATATATTTCATTAATATATAATAAATACAGATAAGTATTTTTATATAAAAAAAAACTTTGCATACCTAAAGCCTGGTGATACAAGTATTCCTTTCAAAGGTGCTGTAGGTAATAGCGGCCAATCTTTGAGTTTAGATTCTTCTTGATTTATATTAACGTCATTTATCGATACTTCCGTCTCTTTATTATCTTCCTTTCGATTTTCTATTTTGAATATTGACTTTTGATCATTTACTTCTTCTTCTTCTTCATCATCTTCAGGTTCTTCATAATCATCATCTTCATCTTCTCCTTCTGCTTCTGCTTCTGCTTCTGCTTCTGCTTCTGCTTCTGCTTCTGCTTCCGCTTCTGCTTCTGCTTCTGCTTCTGCTTCCTCCTCTTCTTCGTCATCTTCATCGTCATCTCCTGTAACATCTTCTTCTTCTTCTTCTACTACTACAGGAGATGTTAATGGAATTGAATTCTCTGGTTCTTTTTCTAACTGGTCATCTAAAGCAGCTTCCTCATCTGCTTCATGAAGAGCTTTTATAACCGATCGATCTATAGACGGAGGTATTTTCCGATGATCTAATGTTGTATTATCCGATTGTGGTGTACCTATTGTTTTCTTTTCAAGAAGTCTAAGTGCCCTTCGATTAATTTTTTCTATACGTTTGCGTTCCTTTTCTTTTCTACGTATTTCACGCAATCTCTTACGTTCTTCTCTTTCTTTTCGACGAGCTTCAAGTATTGCTTCATAATTATATACTGGTTGTGCTGTCACTCCTGCAATTAATATAGTATAATTTGTTGTTATATTTATTTAATAATAAAACAAATAAATTAAACTTACTCGGTGGTACTGTAATTTCTGGTCTTGGATATGTTGCCCCAGAAATTGGTATTGGTACAGGTGCAGGTACAGAAACCGGTAGAGCTAAAGGCACTGGGGATAAGGTCGAACTTTGTGTTGGTGTTGATACCACAGAAGGAATACTGGAAATAGTGGGAATGGTGGAAATACCGGGAATAGTGGGAATAGCTGGAATAGTGGGTACTGGCATAGGAACAGGAGCAGGTACGGGAACAGAAATTGGGACTGAAACGGGAGAAGGTGCAGGTTCAGTAGAATAAGAAGTTGTTCCTGGTTGATCTACAGTTGACTGTGTACCACTGCTCCAGTCTAAGGATGTTGGTACTACTTGAAGGACATTACCAACGCGTACAACTTGACTGGATCCGTGTACAACTGGAGGAGTTGTAATTGCAGGTACTTCTGTACGTGTTGGAGATATTCCATTATAATCTGCAGGTACCACTTGTAAAACATTGCCCACCTATATCAAGAAAAACAATTATAATTATTGTAATAATTATTTCATTAATCTACTACCAATTGTTTAATCAGATATATAAATATATATATATATTTACCTGTAATACTGTAGTAGGTTGACGGCGGTACAATTGTTGTTGAGGTTGTGGTGGAGGAGATGGATATACAACGGTATTTGCATTAAAATTATTCGAATAATCAGGGAGTATATTTGTTTCTTGCTCATGTTGCTTTTTAATTCCTAATTCTAATTCCAATCTGCAGTTAAATAAATAATTACCAATTAATGTAAATCATATAGACAACTATTAAAAAATGTAACTCGTAGAAAATTAAAATTGGTAGATAAAAGGTTCGTGTTATTATAATCATTACCTGTCATCAAGGGACAAACGCTTTGGAGAGTTTGTAACAGTAGTATTGTTTATGCAAGGAGGGTAAGTCAAGTTATTCTCCGTGTAATAATAATCATTACTAGACTCGTTCACACCAGGATATTGAAAGTTTGAAGATACATTATCTATACCGACAGAAATCTGCATTTCTGTATCCATAACAGTAGAATCTGCTGTTACTCTCGTCACACCGGAAGTTGACTGTACAATTGTCTCTATGCGTCTACCGGTTTCTTCACAATTTTTCCTATTATCTCTTAAATTTCCATTGATTTGATCCCTTAATAAAGAAGGTGACCTGATTATATAAAAATGTATAATATTATACAAATAAATGAATAATAATCTTATCGCGTAAAGAAAATAACAACTAATAAAATAACAACTAATAAAATAACCATATACCGAGAAAGACGATGTGTTTCAGATAATCTTGATTCATATTCGGGACTTCGTTTTCTCGATCTGGTTCTAGATGTTGATCTAGACCTTGATCTAGATCTTGACTGCAATTTTGCCCTTGATCGTGACGGCCTCAATGGTGATTTTGATCTTGATCTCGTCCTCGATCTTGATCGAGACCACGTTCTCGATCGCGATCTTGATAGGCATCTAAATCTATCTAGAGATAATCTTGATGGCGAGTGTCTTAAACAGGGGGATAGCATTGATCTTTTTTGTTTTTCTGTTCTTCTCATAGAATGTGTATATTTTTCTAAATCAGTAGTATCACCTACTTTTCCCCACTGCATATCTCGTCTTATATTTTGTCTTTGTTGTTGGCTTAAATTAATATCATAAAAGCATAAATATGTTTTTCATTTATAAACTTACATGAAATATTTCATTACTATTATTATTATAATATTCTGTCAAGAAAAGAAAAAGGAAGTACCTTCGTCGAGAAGTAATAGGACCTTCCATAATTTCCCTTTCCAAGCTTTCATCCCTATAATAAGGTCTGTTATTATAATCTAAGTTCATATCCTGTTGATTACTAAATGAATCTAAAGATTCTCCCTCTCGTAAAGCATTATCTATTCCAAATTGCCAAAATGCTTGATCTGCTTCCTCTTCGATTTGTATTCTAAAAGATTTCAATGTGCGTTACAATCGAATTGATCTATTTTAGTTAATCTAATATATTTAAATCTAATTTAATAATCTAAATAATCGAATATATTATATATACATATAGATATTAAAAGACAATACCTATTTTCAACCTGTTTATTAAGTTCCATATTTCTTTCCCTTAACATTTCAATTGGATCATACGATTTCATTTCCTTCTCTCGATTCTTATCCATACTATCATATCTTCTTTTATTCCATTCGTCACGATTGTTTTTATTTGCTATAAATATATATTTTTTAAAGTATTTGTATAATTTAATACATATAATATACAGAATGAATACTTACGTTTGTTGTAACTGGTATTAAATGATCTTTCTGGGCTTCGTCCAAATCTATCTTTTCGATCGTCCACATTTCTTGTTCTATTAGATCTATTTAATTTTCTGTCTCTATCTCGAATATATGAAACATTTTCATCTCGTCTTCTTGGACTTTTACTTCGACTTCGACTCCAGCTACGACTATGACTGCCACTTCCACTACCTTCGCATTCCCAAGAAGTACACGGACTATCAATGTGCTTTCTTTTGTTCCTCATCGGACTCATTTTTCTTCTGTTTTCATTATATTCTGTATTCCTAGAACCTTTATAATCTCTCTTGTCAATTCTGTCTCTCATCAATTCATTCATTTTTTTATTTCTTTTGTCCTTATCACGATTATTGTTGTATCGTTTATCATCTTCCTGCTTAAATGGTCTCTTTCTCTTTAATTCTCTATTTGAAGATTTTGTACTTTGCAGTAAATCCATGTCATTATTATCTTCAATAGTAAGCTTTGTTGTCTTAGCATTATCATCTTTTTTCTTATCCTGATTTTTGTATTCATCATTTTGATCGGAATACATGTTGGATGATTTAAATTTAGAATGAGTAGTTTGAAGTTGCAAGTTCTGTAATATTTCTTCTTTTGATCCCAATGTGATATTAGTGGCAGTAATAGCAAGATCTGCAGAAGAACATTCGTCGGTACTTGTTATAGTAGCATCAACAATTTTATTTGCATTTGCCATAGTTGTAGATGCTGCAGTAGAAAATTCTGTATCTTCTTTATCGCTGCTTAATATACGCGACTGTAAAAGCTTTTGCTGAATTGTTAAAAGAGCGGCAACTTGTTGCGCAGAATCAAGTAAGGGCACTTCAGTCGTTTTTGATTTATCATGCTCATTAGAGCGTCGAATTAAAAATTGTTTAGGTATAAGTTTAAAAGTTGCTTTGTCCTCATTTGTCTCATCATCTTTTGTATTCGTTTCTGTTATTATATCAACATTCTGAACATTTTCATTATTATAAGATACATCTGTTTCATACTCAGCAAACATATCCATTCGTAAAGATTTAGATGAATGTCCATCTGAACATAAATCATTGGCGAGTAAATTATTGAGTAACTTCTCCGAATTTTCATTGCATTTTTCAGTTTTTGAATGAACATCCATATTTTGAAGATTATGTTTAGTTGTTGATGCTTTAGAACCTTTGTATATATTTTCATGGAACTTCTTTAATTGTAATGGTATAGTGGAAGAAGATATTGAATTATCTTCTATTTGAGATAATTCTTTGTTCTTATCTTCATGTGATTTATTCTTGTTCAAAGAAGTTGAATTACTGCCACAAGAAAATCCTTCGATATCTTCAGACTTCTGAGATGGTGCTGGAGAACTTGGACTATACAACTCTATTTTTGATTGTCCTAATTTGGTATCAATATCTAGGATAGATTTCAATCGTTCTGTGGATAGATTCTTTTTATTTTTCATTGATTTCTTTTCTATAATTGTATCAATATTTTCATTTTCGCTCCATGATTGTTCTAATAATTCCTTATCTTCCAACTTCAAAGAACAAGATTGTTTTCTTTTAACGAAATTCATAGGATTTTCAGAGTATTTAGAATCAAATGTCTCAACATTTAACGGTTCATTTACAACATGGCAAATATCATCCTTTACCTTATCTTTTAATGAAATTTTGTCGGGTACATCCAAAGATGTTCTACTACTTGTATGTTCAGGTTTAGTTCGATTCGACCATTCAACACATTCCTCTTCCCACATAACAGAAGCTTTGAGTTCCATCTTATCATCAGATTGAGATCCTATATCCCAACGACTTTTCTTCACTTTTTTATTCATATTATATTCATTTTCTTGTAAATTATCAAGCATTTCAACGCTCTTTCTATCTTTATTACTTTTAGCATAGTTAATAGATAAGTCAGACTGAATGTTACTGGCAATATCAATGATATCACTAACAATAGTTGTGGCAGCACTAGTAGCACTGGCTACGCTATTTGTATCAATATTATCCTTGGATTTTTCATTAGTACACATAAATGATTCTTCTTCAATATCCCAATCATCTTTCTTCCTTTGATTTTTCTCTTGAATGAGCATCATAGCTTCTCTCTCACCTTCTTCCTCCTCATCTTCCCAGATTCTTATGGTGCATTTCTCTATTCGTTTACGATTTTCTCTTGTACTTCCCTTTTCAACGGCAATATATGTGTCTGTTTTTTTATCATATTTCACTTCTTTTTCCAATTTTTTCGAAACATGAGAACTTCTTTTTTTATTAACTGCTAAATTTGCAATACCTTCTAAACTGTCTACTTCCCATTCGTCAGCCAATAGATGACTTTTATGTACTTCTTTTTCAAGTTGTGTTAACGATGGTACATTTAAAGTATCAAATTCTGTTTCTCTCCATTTTTCTTTTTTGTGTTTCTCTAACTTCTTTGATAACTTCATATCATCCTGTATCATTTGGTGTGCTATGCGTTCAGTTGCTCTTTTTTCCCAACCAGCAAGGAACTCGCTATTACTTTTCTTATCCTTATCTTTTTTCCTTTTTCTTTTTTCATCCAAATCATTTTCTATCTTTTGTTTCCCTTCGGCAAAATTGTCATCAGATCGCTTCTCGTTTATTTTATCTATTACTGTAATACTTTGCTCACCTCTGTCGATTTTTTTAAATTTATTTTGCCCATCATCTTTCAACATATTTACATCACGATTTATTTCGGACATTTGACTTCCAAGTTGTTCAGATATAATTCCCGAATTTACTTTCCATGCTTCTAAAAATTTATCCGTACTTTTATTCTGACCATCTTTATTGGATATTATCGATTTGTTTTTATTTTCCCATAAATTAGATTTTTCTCCTTGGATCATTTTAACATTCATTTCATCTTTAATTTGTTTCGATACAGATTGTATCGTATGTTTTATAGACGAATCTGAAACCTCATTCAAGAATTCTCTATTATCAAGATTTTTCTTACTCAATGCTTTTCTACTTTTCAATTTCTTCTTTCTCATTTTTTTTCTTTTTCTTCTTTCATCGGAATCACTGCTACTCGATGGAGAACTCTCCTTTCTTCTACGTTTTTTCTTTATTCTCATTATTCTTTTAGCTTTCTTTTTTTTCTTACTAAGTTTTCTTTTCTTCCTCTTCTTCTTTTTTCTTTTATTATCAGAACTGAAAGAATCGCTGCTACTGCTTGTACTACTACTTTCACTACTATCAGAATCAGATGAACTCGAATCTTGAGATAATTTTCTGCTTCTATGTCGTTTAGTCTTTTTATCTTCTGAATCTGAGGAGCTACTACTACTAGACGAATCGCTACTACTAAATGTTTCCTTTAATAACCGCTTTTTCTTTCTCTTTCTTCTTTTTGGTTCAGAATTTTCATCACTTAATTGTTCCACTTTGATCCTAGCTTCATTCCAATCGTTAGGTATAGATTTAGATTCTTTTATTTCCTCTTCCTCACACATAGTTGTATTTTCAAATATTCTTTCGTTCTCTTGCATAGAAGTTTGTGAGTTTACCGACAAAGTGGAATGTTCTGAATGTTGAAACGCTGCACAGGAGTTTTCTAAACGTTCTTTTTCTTGCAATTGTTTTTCCGTTAATATTTCTCTAGCAATATTATTTTGATTTTCGCATGTCAAATCTTTAGACATAGGAAAAGTATTATGCTTATGCATTGATGTAATTTCTATATTAAATTCATGATAATTCGATGGAGATACAGATTTACGTGGACATTTCTCCGAAGCAAATTTTTGTACTGTACTTACTGTATCTGGTAAAGGAATTTCTGTACAGACCATTTTCATAAATTGCTCATACTCCGAAGCTAACTTTTCATTTCCTGTAGATAATAAAATAGGAGAAGCAGATTCTTTATCTACAATTTCAGATTTGTCAACAATTTCAGAATTATTCTGATCATCTGAAGTATTTTCTTCATTCCTGCTATTTTCGTCGGAAGAATTAGTAATAGAGGGTGATACCTTATTCTCTTCTAAAAATTTAATTTTATTTACTTATATAAAGATTTACGTACTTGTTTATATATTGTAAATAATATATTAATAATCTTACCTTGTTCAATAATATTCTCTGTTTCCACTTTCTTCTCCTTATTTTCTATTTCATTATTTTCTTGTGGAATTTCATCTTCACTGTCCCATTTTGATTTTGACGATTGTATATCCACGGATAATTGCCATTTTGTGTCATCATTAGATTCAATTGTGTTTAATTTTTTATACCAATTACGAGAACACGGCGGTTCTTCGTTATCTCCTATGTTGACTCTACAACAATCATTGGCTAATTAAATAAATAAAGAAACAGAATAAAAGAGAATAAAAGAGGAAAAAAAAATTATTCATACTGAATAGACGTTGCATCACATATTTTTCGTAGCTTTTCCCTACGATCCAATGTAACAGCCTGAAATAACTGTTGTCGATTTAATAATAGAGACACGCGAGGATTTTCACAATAAAGTAATTGCCGTCCACGTTTTGTTAATCTAATAGATTCCGGGGGAAATCCTTTAAGTCCATCTAGTCCTTCAGCAATTAAGGCAGTACGTCTTACACGATAGTTATTCAACATCAACATTTGATCCAAGCTACGAGCATAATCTTGCATTGTCCTGCAGTACAATTACTATTATATTACATTCTACTTATTTTCTCTTTTAATTCTAATGAAACTCAAAAATAAATGAAATATTACAAAATATAAAATAACAAAATATGAACCTGTTTTTGATAGATCGTTCTGACATTTCTTGTTTTCTAAATTGAATGTATTCGTTCATAGTTACACCAGATTTTTTAATTTCTGCCCACGATTCGCACTTCCTTAATTCTTTTTCTTTCTCTTTGTCTTTGAATTTATTTTTCTCCTTTTTATCTTTAACATCTGTATCATTTTCTCGCATGTCATTTGATTTATCCTTTCTGTCCTTCGATTCATCCTTCTTTTCTCTTAATTCTTCTTTCTTGTCTTTCTGACTTTCCTTTTTATCCCTTCCATTATTTTTTTTGTCACGATTCAATTCTACCTTGGCCTCGGTTCGTTTATATTTATTTTCTCTTCTTTCTTTATCCTTTCTATATTGTTCCCTATTCTGGAGAGATGGTTTATAATTATATCTTTCTTTGTTGTCATGTTGTTCTTTTACTTGTTTATTTCCACTTCTTTCTTTTCCTTCTTTGCTATGTTTTCTCCTTTAAAATATTTGGTATATTTTATATATTATTACATTTTTATTTTCTTCAAAATAAAACTAAGAAAAAATAGTTTAATATTTATATCACATACTTGCGCTCTAATACAGATTTATTTGAACCCCTTTGAGAAGAAATTACATCATTTGATCTAGATCTTCCTTTAGAATTTCTCGATGTTACCCACATAGTTGAATTATTTCTAGTAAAATTCTCTTCTTCTAAACATGCTATACAAAAGTAAATCAAATTATCTATCATATTCAAAATTTGTAATTACATATTACATTTAAAGTTTAATTACCTGCAGCCATAGCTTCTGCGAGTAATAGTTTACTTTTAGACTCTTCCCTTCTAATTTCTTCTATCGCTAGAACTTTCTCTTCTGAATAAAAAGAACAAAAAAATAATTCTATCTAATACTAATTAAAAATACAAATAAAAAATAAATAGAAGAATAAAATAATCTATTTCGTTTTTATACCTGCTTTCTTTCTTAATTTACTACCAGTGGAATAACGGTTATACGATGACTGTTGTTCTGTTTTTATAGATTTTGTTTCACCAGTGGTATCTTCATTGTCTGCACCGATAACTTGAGGTACAGAAGATTTAATTGGAGTTTTCGGTAATACATTAAATTTATTCGCAAATGCCAATAATCTCTTTTTAGCTTGAACTTTGCCAAGAACGGGTTTAAGCATTCTTGGACTTTCTAACCTACATGTATCTCCATCACTTGCTTGGCCTTTAGTACTTTCAGGTGTTTCTGGCATCTGTATGTCTAGTAAAGACATTGAAATATCCGGTGTAGGCTCTTCTGGAGCATAAGCATCCTCAGTTCCAGACATTATGCCTTTTTTCTTAAGCGCTATTTAAGCAAAATTACAAAATATAAATGGAAAGCGTAATAAGATAAAGTCAAATGAAAAACAATGTTTATAAATATAAAATATACAATTTTAAATTCTGAAAAGTATCATTCCTAGTTGACCTTGTTTTATTGTAATTTGTTTTTATTATTAGTGTTAGGTCTATATTTAATAGATATTATTATATTTAATGAGAATAATGCAAGTTTAATTTAAAAATATCAAAGCTTCTAGGCGTAATAAATAATTATAAAACTTATTAACCAAAAATATAAATACCATGCATTTCATTAATTAAATTTACATATTTTTTGTATTATTAAGGTACAAAGCAACATATTATTTGAGAAATTGAATTCAATTATAAAAATATAATATAAAAATAATAATTATCTTTTTATTGCGTAGATAATTATAGAAATTCTATTACCAAATCGCATACAAACAAATTCATATTATATTTATACAAACAAACCATAAACAGATAACAAAAAATGTGTACGATTAAAATTGGCTTCTTAAACAAATAAAATGTACAAATATAATATAATTATGAAAATAATAATGTAAGATAGGAAAACAATCTGAATATTGTTAAAGCTAAATATATGATATTGAATATTGTAAATGATTGTTTCTTACCTTACAACAATATATTTAAGTAATAGAGCAATACATTTTTTTATTGCAAAATTTATTAAAATAGTTTAGGAAGTGTAACTTTATTAATAGATAAAATTCTAATATAATATAAGTAAGTTTGTCACTACTATTTATTAATGTTCAACAGCCTTTGCGAATGAAAAATGTCAGACATTTTATTCAAACAAGAAATCGACACTATAAACGAGTAGAAACTGTTAGTAGGTTAAAGGGTTTGATCTGTCTGATATGTCCCTTGTATTTAACATGGTTCACTGTTTACAGCGCCTCTGGTGGAAATGCCTAATAATAAGCTATTATTTAAATTATTAAACCTAACCAAACAGAAAGAATATATGTATATAAAAATTTACTCATTGTATATATACATAAATACATATACTACCATTATATCACACAAATATATTAACATAACATTTCAGGCATATTTCCAAATAAATACTTGATCGTATTTTATTATTTTTTCCAAGCAAAGAACTTAATTTTAGAAATGTAAAAGCTTTATTAGCTTGATTTAATTAAGCTTCATTATCTTTTTAAATAAATAATTATTAAATAAAATAAATATGATGCAAACACACAACTGAATAATCTTAGGAAAACTTTTATAATTTGAATAATTTTCAAGATGGAGGAATCGATAGATGGCGGAAATTTAGCGGGAAATTTATGAATCTAACGCCACCTAGTGTTGACGCTCAATGTTGTTTTATGTGTTTTACATGTGCATTTATACATATAATTATTATTATACAGTAAAAATAAATATTTTTAATAAATTACGATATTTTTATCACATTATTTATTAAATAATAATTAAATAATTATATTTCTTTGTTAACTTATATTTCGTTAAAATACATAGTTAAATATAAGTTATTGCTACTCTCATAGTTTTAATTCCTTAGATTTTATTAATTATACATCATGGTAAGTAATTAATTATTAAAAAATAATTGATAAATAAAAATATAATTATTTAAAATGTAACTTTTTATTGGATATAATTAAATGTAGATACTTGTCAGGAAATGATTTAATCTGAAAATATTTGTTGTCAAATAAGTTTTACTTATGTTGTTTGTATTTGTTTTATTATATTATAGAGTCAAAGTAGTTCACCTGTCAGATCAGACAGGCATACAGATATGATGACATCTCCTGCACCAGAAATAGATGAACCTTTTGCAGATGAAAGCGCATTACTTGATGAAGAAAATGATGTTAATAACCCAGAAGAAGAAGAAGAAGAAGAAGAAGGAGAAGAATTATTTGGAGATAACATGGAAGCGTAAGATATTATACATAATATATTATAATAGATTTATGGATTAAAATATTTATTTGTTAATTAATCAAATGTTTGATTATACAGCGACTATCGTCCCATGCCAGCTCTTGATAGATATGATCCTACAATGCTTGACGATGATGAGTACTCCGAATTGTCTCAAGGAGATCGTGTAGCAGCTGAAATAGAAATGCGAAGAAGAGATCGTGCAGCTGGAATTCTAAGAGATGATAGAGATTTACTTTATGGTAAAATTCTTTCTATAGTGTTGTATCATTTATAGAAATATTCATTTTCACTTGTAATCTTAAGCATTCTTTGATTATTATATTCTTACTCTCATTCATTTACCATAATATAAATTACAGATGATACCGATGAAGATGATACTCAAACTCACAAGCGACGTATGGCTGAAAAGGCTGCCACTGGTGATATTGATGATATAGAAGTATAAATCTACTTATTATTTATTTCTACAAATATAATTCCTTATCTACTATCATTTAAAAAATTTTCCTTTTCCTAATCGTAGATAATAGAATCTATTGAAAATTTAGAAGATACAAAAGGTCATTCTATCAAGGAATGGGTTACGATGTTAGGGCCACGAACAGAAATTTCCAATCGTTTTAAAAGTTTTTTGCGTACCCACACAAATTCAAAAGGACAATATATGTATAGAGAACGTATTCGTCACATGTGCGAAAGTAATCAGGTATTAGAAGTAGAACATTTGTTTTATATATAATTTTGTGTATATTGATTTATATTTAATCTTTTAATTTTGATCATAGTCTAGCTTTATCGTGGAATTTCCTATTCTTGCAAGTAAAGAACATGTTTTGGCTTATTTTTTGCCTGAAGCTCCGTTTCAAATGTTACAAATATTTGATGAAGTAGCTAAAGAATTGGTATTAACTATTTTCCCTAGTTACGAAAGAGTTACAAGTGAAATTCATGTTAGAATATCGGAACTTCCATTAATAGAGGAATTACGTACATTTAGGTACAAGCTATGATATTTTGATATTCTCACATTTTGTATCTTTTATGTTTGTATTTGTTTGTAACTTATGTTGAAAATATAGGAAGCTACATCTTAACCAATTAGTTCGAACTCTTGGTGTTGTAACAGCTACAACAGGAGTGTTGCCACAATTATCTGTCGTGAAATATGATTGTTCTAAATGTGGATATGTTCTTGGCCCATTTGTACAATCACAAAATTCAGAAGTGAAACCGAGTTCATGTCCAGAATGTCAAAGCTTGGGTCCTTTCATGGTAAGCATATGTTTATAAAGATATGGGTCATTTCTAACATACATATTCATTATTGATAAAATTTTTAGATTAATATGGAACAAACAATCTACAGAAATTATCAAAGAATAACAATTCAAGAATCTCCAGGAAGAGTACCTGCAGGAAGAATACCAAGAAGTAAAGATTGTATTTTATTATCTGATCTTTGCGATCGATGTAAACCAGGAGATGAGATAGATCTTACAGCTATATATACTAACAATTATGACGGTTCTTTAAATACAGAACAGGTTGATCATATAATTAATATCATTTATCATTAAATAATCGTTCTATTATATATTTCTTAAATTGTTAAACTGTTGCAATTATCTTAATCAGGGATTTCCAGTGTTTTCTACAGTATTATTGGCTAATTATTTATTTGTAAAAGATTCTAAAGAAATTGTTGAATCTTTAACCGAAGAAGATATCGCTAGTATTCTTGCTTTAAGTAAAGATCATCGTATCGCTGATCGAATTGTTGCAAGTATTGCTCCTTCTATCTATGGACATGAATATATTAAACGAGCACTGGCGTTAACTATTTTTGGAGGAGAAGCCAAAAATCCTGGTAAATAAATCATTAATTAATTTTATCACATTATAATGAAGAAAAAAATTGTTTGATATGTCTATATTAATTAAGATATTCTTTTTTTAAAAAAGGTAATAAGCATAAAGTAAGAGGAGATATAAATGTTTTGATCTGTGGTGATCCAGGAACAGCTAAATCTCAATTTTTAAAATATATTGAAAAAATAGCTCCAAGAGCAATTTTTACAACAGGCCAAGGAGCTTCTGCTGTAGGTTTAACTGCATATGTACGTAAATCACCTACTACACGAGAATGGACGTTAGAAGCTGGTGCTTTAGTTTTAGCAGACCATGGTGTTTGTCTAATTGATGAATTCGATAAGGTAATATATTCATATAAATCATTGTAAAAATTATTATATTATAAGATTCTATTAATTTAGATTTTTAATATTATATTTTATAGATGAATGATGCAGATAGAACATCTATACACGAAGCTATGGAACAGCAAAGTATTTCTATTTCAAAAGCAGGAATTGTTACATCATTACATGCTAGATGTTCAGTAATAGCTGCATCCAATCCAATTGGAGGAAGATATGATGCCAGTATGACCTTTTCAGAAAATGTAAGATATTATTTATGTTTAAAAATAACTGTTTATAAATTATGTTATATGAGTTTATATTTAAGAACATTGTATTATTATAGGTGGATTTATCGGAACCGATTATTTCTCGATTTGATATACTATGTATAGTAAAAGATGAAGTGGATCCTATGCAAGATAGACATTTAGCTAAATTTGTGGTAAACTCGCACGTTAAACATCATCCAACTAATTCAGAAAAAGCAGTACCACCAGAACCAACCGAGACAACTGAAAATCTATCTATTCCTCAAGATCTTCTTAAAAAGTATATTGTCTATGCTAAACAAAACGTTCATCCTAAATTAACTAACATTAATCAAGATAAAGTAGCTAAATTATACAGCCGTTTGAGGCAAGAAAGTTTGGTAAGTTTAAATCGTTTATAAAATTTATATGCTGTAAATAATTAATTTAATTAAATCATCAACACACCATATTGTTTTACAGGCTACAGGAAGTTTACCTATAACAGTACGACATATTGAAAGCATTATTCGTATGGCTGAAGCTAGTGCAAAAATGCATTTACGAGATCATGTGCAAGAAAGTGATATTAATCTTGCTATAAGAATGGTTTTAGACAGTTTTGTTGATACACAAAAATACTCTGTTATGAAAAGTATGCGTCAGGTATGTAAATTGTAAATGTAATTTTAATTTGACTAATATTTGAAAAATCCTGGTAGAAAACATAAATTGCTTTAATCTCGTAATTACTTTCTGCTTATTTTTAAACTTGATATCAACATTTTATTATTTCAGACATTCCAAAAATATTTATCATATAAAAAAGATCACAGTGAACTTTTATATTACATACTTCGTCAAATTACATTGGATACATTAGCATTCCAAAAAGCCTTACATGGGAGTCGAATTACAACTCTAGAAATATCCGAAAAAGATTTATTGGATAGGGTAATACAGACTATATTGATTATAAAAATATTGTGTATTCATGTACAATCATTTTTTTGTATATTTCTTTTTTTTTTTTATATATGTATCTTTCTTTTCCAGGCTAAACAAATCGACATACATAATTTACATCCATTTTATGAAAGTGATATTTTCAAAACTAATAATTTTGTATATGATTCTCGAAGAAAAGTGATTATTCAAACTCTTCCAGAAAATGTCGACGACTGAAGAATTCATTAAATATTTGTGTTATTTTAAATAATATTTCTTAAGTTTCCTTTTTTTCACATACAAAGACATTTTTACCAATTAAAAGAAGCTTTTATTTTATAAGCATTTTATATGTATGCACGTAACTGTTTACACAATTATTTTAATAATGAACAATTGTAAGTAAAATATGTACCGAATTACATTAATTTTATTATATATTATGTATTTGTTTCAAAAGGTCTACTCTTATTGATATTGCTATGACTTTTCTCTAAAAAAAATAAAATTATATAAACGTTTATTGCAAAGAGTATAATTTATTTGGAATATTGGTATTAATATTCGCCAAATAAACGAAGGAATGAATAATAAATGGATGAGGTTGGAGTATATTGAAAAGTAGAGCGAGTAGAGTGAAAGAATAGAGTATCATTAGACTTTAGAGAAGTAATATGGAAAGCATGTTACTAAACAAAAACTTTATAAAGAAAGAGAATATATATTTCTTTAATTTTTTAATCCTAAAATTCTGGTTAGCCATAGGGATTCTACAAAAATAGATTTAGGAGAATCAAATAATAAGAATTATTACGTTAAGTTTATATTACTTATATAAATTTTTTTTCTATTCGTTAGTCACATTTGATATATTTAAATAAAAAAAAAAAAAACCAAAAAGAAAATAGAGAACATCCTATTAACGAAAAATTTAGTAAGTAAAATATGTAATGTATAAAAGATATTAGGATATTCCATGAGTGTTTTATCTTACTGACTAAGATAGAAAATCATATATATAAATAGTACTTTTTAGAGAAAATAAAAAGAGCTATTTTACAAAAATAAGCATGTAATATGTCGAAAAAATAATAATAATAATAAGTCTGATTGTTAAATATATCACATATTTCAGTGTGAAGAGTTACTGCTACTACTGCTACTGCTACTAGAAACACTATCATTCGAGTCTGACTCACTATCCGAAGAAGAACTGCTACTACTACTTTCACTACTGCTACTAGAACTGCTACTATCGGCACTAGAAGAGCTTGAATCACTGCAACTACTTGATTCTTTTCTCATTCTTTTTCTCTTCTGACCATGAGACTTCTTAACTTCTTCTTTCTTTTCTTTCCTGTAAATAAATAGTTTACATTCTGTATTATCTCTATAACTCTTATAACATACATACAAATATAATAATTATATAATTATTTAAAGATATACATACATTTGATTTTCTTCTTGCATTTTTAAAGCTAATTTAAGTTGCACAGTACGAGATGACCTGTGCAAATATTTTCGTTTACCTTTACACTCGTAACTCCAGTGACCGTAATTCAAACACTTTTGGCATCGCATTCCTTGAGATGGCAGATTACTAAAAATCAATTAAAATGTTAATAAACATATATGATATTATTATAAAATGTTGATATAAATTAGCCTATAAATAAATACCTAAAGATATATATGTATATATGCATATAAAACATACTAACCTTTTCTTGATCACTTCTATTTTATTTGAACTCATTCTGCTTTTTTTATTACTAGTATTATTATTATTATTATTATTATTATTATTATTATTATTATTTAGTATTAGTAACAATATTATTTATGCAATGTAAATAAATTTCTAATAGTTTATTTACATATAAAAAAAATTACGAGAGGTTATTTCACAAATATATGAAGTAAAAACAAAAGTAGGGATAAGAACAAAAGGAAATGAATCATTCATCTTTACGCTGGTAGATGGTGCTAGTTGAATTGATTGGCGCCATTTATAAATTCATTTTGTAATGCACATTTAAAATAAGTAAATATATATATATATATATACTTATAACGATATGAATAAATGGATTCTTATGCTTATAATAATAATAATAATAAATTGTTTCATTCCAATGAAACAATAAATAAAAAGGAAAATGTCATTTCTTTAAATATTGAAAAAACTGTTATAAAAGATGTAATAAATATGTTAGAAGAAAATTGTCGACAAAAGGAAATGCAATTAAATAGTGCTAATATTCAATTAGTAATTATAAGATTGATATTTATACAAAATATGTGGGTGAATTGACAAGTCTTGAGCCTCGACAACACACACACACAAAACACATGTTTTATTTTTTAAATGAAATTGTTTTTATGCCAGCTGCAAAATTGTTATCCTATCCATATATATAACAAAATGTTTATTGTGTTCTCATATATATTTTGTGATTTATTAGAATACTGTATAAGATATTTTTCTTTTGTAGAATAATACTGAACAAGAAAAATGGATTATAAGAGATCAGTTTTGTTCTCAAGTATGGAACTTTTCACGTGATCATGATTTTTCCAAAATTTTCCAATATTACCCATATATTACAAATTCAATGAAACCTCACGATTGTCCATATAATAAAGAAATTAAAAGTATTCAAAATGAATACAATAATAATACAGGTTACTATTGTTACGAATAGTTCAGATAAATCAAATAATTTTATTTTAAATAGTTCATACTATTTTCTTTTCAATTTTAATTTTATAGATATGCAGTACAATGAAGATACTGAAAAGTTATCAAAAGAAATTTCTATTTTAACTAAGGAATTATTTGATATTACTGCCGATAAAAATGTACAAGAGACAACAATAACAAATTTATCTATAAAAATAGAACGATTGAAATTGTTTTCAGAAGAAATAAAGGACCTTCTTAAGTAAAGTTCTAAACTTTTCAGCTCATCCTCGTATATCATATACAGATTTGATGCATTATATCGAATTTATTTTCTATTAATAATAAAAACATTTATTCTTCTTTTTTCATTATTTTTAGATTGATATCTGTTACTGGGAATTTAAATAACAATAAAAAGTTAAACATTAATGGTAAATACATGAAAATGTTGACTCTACTAATTTCATGAAAATTTCACTAAAATTTATTACAGTATTAACTAATTATAAAATTAATGTACAGATTTAGAACGCAAAAACAACAATTTGATAGTTAATGGAAAGAAAGATCATGCATTGACATTTACTACGGCAAAAGAACTCCTCGAACAATTCAAATCGTGTTCACCTGTTTTAATTAAAAACAGTAACACAGTATCAGAAACAATAGCTGTAAATAATAACGCAGTAAAACATCTTATTAAAGTAATTATATGTTTCCTAGACAAATCTATTATTCACAAATGTAATATCTATCAAAATTGATTTATTAGAATAATTTTATTTATTTATCTTATAGGATGAGAAAAAAGAATTAAAAAGCAAATTTACAGTAAAAATACAAAGTAATTTGTCATTAAAGTTTGAACAGAATCGACAACTCAAAGAAAAGGAGAAGAAATGTTAACGTACGTATTATCATCCTTGTATTAAATTTTGAAAATATTCTTAAAAATTGTATATTATGCATTTAATAAAATGCATTTAGCATACATTCTGTATAATAAAAAGTATGCAAAACATAAGGTATTTACTTTATAGTATATTTATATATTTAGAAATATTTATACAGGATTCTATATGATTATATAATATACACTGAATTACATTAATATTACATTTGTTTAAATTATACACATAATATTGCGTTCGACACATACCATCATCCAACACAATTTGAGAATTGCATATTCTCTATTTCCAAACAGTATTTAAACTAGCCACTTCTAATCCATAGGTTCTTTTTTTCTTTACTTATTTATTTTAAAACTGTTAAACAGTTTATCACAACGAATTGTATTGTAGCATTAATATTGGCAATTTACACTTGTATCTGTAATACATGCAGGTCCTTACAATTTTACAATTAAATTTGAATTATTTTCAATTAAATGATCGGTTAAATCAATGTTATATCTATATAAATATTTGTGCTTCGATAATTTTAACTGAACAATTAGAACAAATAATGCAATTTAAATTGCCTTGTAAAAATTACAATTAAAAATATATATATATAGTATACATATATATCTATAAAACAGCATTGAACTGTAATAACATTCATTGAAAAAATTTGTTTATTACTTGTTAAGTATTAAGTAGATAAATTATTCATAAAGTATATTATTAACAAAACATGAATATATGCATACACAGATATACGTGAATTCTATAACGGAATATGATTGTAAATATTAATATGATAATACATATTTAATAATTAATAGCATAGAAACTCTTTCTTTTAATTATATTCGAATTTTTTTGTATCTCTTTATATTCTCTATATGCTAGATATATTTATTATTGTAATATGTGATATAAAATTTGGAAAATATTTACCAAAATAATTCAATAGCGTTTCATTATCACAACCATTTGCTGTAACAATGATATGACAATATACTTCAGCAGAAATAAGGAAAGTGAAATATGCATTTATTAAATGCTGATCAAAATGTATCAATTTAACACCTTTAATCAAAATTCTATTTCTGTATCTTTCTATTTGAAAATAAAAGATAAATATTAGTTTATTCTGCATATATTTATTTTCTAAATGAAACAGTAAACAATAAAGAAAGAGTCCGATGCTTTGCATATACTTCCACAGACAATATGTAATGTATAAAATTATTGAAACTTTGAAAATATCTATATATACTTACATAAATATAAACAGCTACATATTCGACATAACTTTAAGCATCGTTAACTCGAAATACGATAAATATATTAATTATAAAAGCTTTTGAATGCGTGAATTGAAAAACTCCATAAATTGAACTCTTGCACGATGCTAAATCTACAAATATCTGAATGAAGATTAAATCTACACAAATAAGAATATTACGGCATTATTAATGTAATCTTATTTATATAACATCAGCCAAATAGCTAACAATATATTTGTCTGTAAATAACAATATAATGCACATATGGATATTCATAAGAATATTTGTATACAATTACTTAACACTTATATTGGCACTATGTCTCTGTGTACAGTCAAGAGAATATTGTAAACGATAAGAAAAATACAATTTTATGCTCGTGTGTATACTTAATATTTATTATTATATTAAATATTTATGTTTGGCAGCATTAACCCTTGTCATGATAATGTATTGTAATTATTCAATTTACAATCTAGATTGAACGTGTAATGACTATTACAAGAACTGAACAGAATTAAAATAATTGTTCTTATACTTTGAAAATGCTATATATGCTCAATACTATAATCTTTCTTTAATACCATAACAAATACGTCGTATAAATGCTATTCAAATAAATACTTTCTAATCCTTTGTAACTATATAAAAGCAGCAATTTATAATTAATACTTTCAATATTAAAAAATGAATAAAACTATAATTATTAAATGTCTCTTGACTGACACTACATGATAATACATAAAATATTTTATTTCTATTCTAAATGCTTTCAGCAACTATTTATTATATATTTATTAAAATAATGTTACAGTTTATCATTGTGCTTTGTATTTATGTAATAAAATATATAGATACTGTACGTCAAATAAAATTTAACGAAAGAGATTTAAGATTTAAAAGCTTACGATAGAATTATTATTATTATTATTATTATTATTATTATTATTATTATTATTATTATTATTATTATTATCCAAATAAAAACTTTCACTAAATATTGTATGATGAAACAATAATTGTAATTATAACTTTTTTTCTTATTTTTAGAATCAGTATACTCTTACATCTATAATAGCTGCGTATATATTTATACTGTCAAAAATAAAAAAATAATGTGCTGTTTAGCATATTTTACTTAAATTAGATAAATAGATATATATATATATATATATATATATATATATATATATATGTATATGTATATATATCTGTTTTTAGTCATCAGAAGAATATCTCTGTTTTGAATCTCTTATGTTTAATTTTATACCTGATAAAATGACAATATGTTTGTATTTGGAAAAAAGAACAAGATGATTAGAAGTAAATATATAATATATATATGGTGATCAAAATTTAAACACCCCTAGGAATTCATAATACATGTATACAGTTGGCAAAATTGTGTTCGGTAAAATAACAATAGAATATAAGAAATACAGTGTGACATAATTGATGTCGATTCTTAATATTTTTTTTAATCATGTAGTATAAAGTAAAATCAACATTCATTTGACATTACAAATTAGTTGATCTTAATCAAATATATTAATGTTCAGCCTCATACATATTGCATATCTAATAGACAAATGAAAAGCGAAGTAAATTATCTCTAACAATTTGAGAAGATCAAACTTATGTATATTCAGGAATTTATGTTTTTTAAATATACTAATATTATGATCGTTTTTTCTTGAATGCAATGCCAGGCATAAACTTTGTTCTTACAAGTTACCATATTATGTTTCCAACTTTCTTAAACGTATGAAAAATAAATAAATAAAAATAAAAGGAAGTTGTTAATTATTGTAACTTATTATTTAAAATTATCTTTTAAAAGATCACGTAATATAAAAGAAATACTTGAAGAATAAACGTAATTTAAATTCATACATTCTTAAAAGCTTATATATGCAGGATTCTATCATGATTAAACATTTTTACATATTTTTGTTTGTACTAACAATGTTATATAAGTATGATTCATGCTACCATAGTATCTAAAATAGCTTCATCATTTATTTGCAAAATAAACTTCCAATTGAGCACCAATTACATATTAAATGTATGTTTCTCTTTATATTGAAAACATTACAAATATGTATTATTTACTTTGCAACAATAAAAATATTGCTCACTTTATACAATGCATATCAGTAACATTAATATGTTGTTATTTAAGTGAGATCATTATAATATCATACTTTGTATCACGTGCATTAAGAATCGACATCTATGTGATATATTGAAGGCTAGATTTGTTACATTGATCGATAAGGACCTTGCATTTTAAGAAATTGAATAACCAATGATGGACCTCCTGCAACTATTTCTGGAGGAATATGTGACAAAGGACAATTCTCAATTGACATAATACTAAGATTTGTGCATAAAGCTAATTCGAAAGGTAAATTATGTAAATTTGCATTATCATTAACATAGAGAGAATCTAAATTTTCTAATGTGCCAATCTCTTCAGGTAGATAATTAAGATTATTTTCTCCTACGCTCAAATGTGTAAGGTTTGTTAAATGCCCGATTGCTCTTGGTAATGAAGTAACTTGGTTTGACTGCAAGATTAATTTTTGTAAGTCTCGTAAAAATCCTATTTCATTTGGAAGAGACTCTATTTTATTTTCTTCAAGATCTAAGACCCTGAGCTTACGTAAATTTGCTATACTGGCAGGAATACGTTTCAATAAATTATTAGATAAAATTAATATCTCCAAACTTTGAAGGCATTGAATGTCATCTGGAATTTTGGTTAGCTGATTCGTACCAAGATTTAATTCGACCATATTGATCCATGTTCCAGTATCTAGAGGTAAAGCAGTTAATTGATTTTCTTTCATGTTCAGTTTAGTTAGATTTTTAGCTCTAGAGAAAATACCATAAGGTATTTTATCAATCAGATTATGTTCAAGATTAATGGAGTAGACGTTTGTAAATTGAGATGGTCCTCCTGACGGATATGCAGCAAATGAATTTCTGGACAATGTAATTGTCTTTAAATTAGAGAGACTGGAGAGTAATCCATCTGGCAGTTGGGAGACCTGATTCCCTTCTACGCTGAATTCATCCATTAATTTACATTTTGCTAAGGATTTTGGAATACTAGATAAACGATTGTATCGAAGACCTAATCTAGTGATTAACACCAAATTTCCAATGGTATCCGGTATATCCAGAAGTTCGTTATGCTGAAGATCAAGCGTAGACAGCTGAGTACAGTTTCCTATTTCTTCGGGTAAATGTTCCAGATGATTATGAGATACATCGAATGTTATTAAGTTAGTAAGTTTGCCAATACCGGCTGGAAGTTCCTTGATTTTATTTTCCCTTAGACTGAGCATCGTTAAATTTGTTAAATTTCTTATATTTTCGTTGACATACCTGACGCGATTGAATCGTAAAAACAACGTAGTGAGAGACGTTAATTTGTAGACGACATCGGGTATCTCGTTCAATTTGTTGTGCCTTAGATCGAGTACTTTTAATGATTTCAAATTTTCCAAGGTACTCGGTAAACTCGTAAGGGCATTTTCGCTCAACGCCAAAGTTTCGAGATTGGCTAAGCAACCTATTTCTGGTGGAAGAGATATTAATTTGTTACCATAAAGATAAAACTCTACCAGGTGGGTCAAATCTCTAACTGTGTGCGGAAGATACGTTATGTTCGATTTGCTTAAATCGAGACGTTTTACACATTCGTCCTTGCATCTTACAAACTCCTTGGAGACATCCAAGTCAGCTTGAATGGGTTTTCCTTTTTTGGTTGTTGGTTTAGGCTTGTTTGACTCTGGATGTTTAACAGTCACGGTCTTTTTCGTGTCAGGTCCCGCTATGGAAGCACTGGATAATTTTTTCTCCTTCAAGTGCTCCCTGTTATCTCGTAATACTTCCACGGCTTCAGGCATGTCGCCGGTTGCCGCCGTGCAAGTTGTCAGACCACAGCCCTCCAAATATTCGGGTATATCCTGCTCCTTCATGTAAATAGTTGGAAGATTATCCCGGAGGTCTCCTCGGTCCCTCTTCACCTCCGACAAACACACCGTCGAAATGTTACCCACACCCGTCCAATATTTAGTCGACTTTTTCATAATCTAATACCACTAGACGCGATTATTTATACTCCTTACGACAGTTTTAAGATTTAGATTTTTCTATTGTATATTTACAACATCACATATTTTTATCAACTTTCCTCCTTTTATGACTCTATTGACATTATTGACGTTCGCCTGACGCGGCGCAAACGCGGAACGGATTTGGAAACGGTGATATACGATAGGTATAAACTCTCTTTTATATATATATATATATATACACACCTCTACATATATATGTATATATATTATGTATGTATATATTCTGTACAGACGTTATTCCTTTCTTCAAAAATCTTCCGCTTTCTTATGTATTCTAAATAATATTTTTACCACTCAATATATCATGGATGTCTCTATCAATAACTTGTTCTATTTACTTTCCTAGTGAATATACAGGGTACCACAAAAAGTGAAACATTACAAATGTATATCTCTACAATGATACTCGCTTATTCTGTTTTCTTCTTCTTCAATTATGTTCCACGCGCATGATCTTTCCTTGACTTTCATTAAAGCTTCGGTAAGGTTTCTTCTATTAGGTATTCTTCGATCGAATTTTAGATTTATCGATTTATATCTTAATTCTGCGCTTTTAATATTATACATACGCGTATAATATATAGATAATAATAATCTATTTAGACAATTGTACTAAACAATTGTTATTACTATTTTACGATGATTGGATAAACTAATGTAAGATCATCGAATAGGCTTTCAGGATTTGGACTAATTATCATAGGTACGTTTTTTATTGGTAAATTTTTCTACGTACACTTGTTCGTAGAGAATAACCAATTATATTCCATATTTTTAGAAATTTCCTAAATGATATAACTATAATTATTATTCAGAATCAAATTTATATACAAGAGAATGAATGTCTGTTAGGTTCAATACAAATTATTCTATATATTCTTCTAATTTGATATAATAATTAAAAAATGTTTAATATATTCAATAAGTTTGATGTATATTTTTTTTATTTTTTATATAGGATTTTATACAATTTATTGTCAACCACATTTTAATATATTAATTCATTTTGTTTAAAACTAATAAACTTTATAAACACCTTTAAATATTAATTATACTTTCAATTTATGAGATCATTCAATACATCTCGCTTTTAAATATATATCGTTAACTTACTTTTATTATTCTAGGATAAAAAAAGTATTTTACATTTATTAAAGTGACTAGCTATGGATCAACTCGACAGTATTTCATTATGCTAAAAATTTGTAATAAATATAATATATGGAATCTTGAGTTGAAAACTTTGCTTTCTTCTGTTACCTTCCTTTTCCATAATAACATACACATACTCATAAATAAAATATAAAAAGGAATTTTCCTCTTTACGTAAGCATATGGAAATTACAATTTTTTATACAAATCAATTAATCTAGTATTATAAAATTTTAACTACAAAACTAACGTCATAAAGATGTAGATGTATTTTGATCAATAGATTCAATCACAGATTGAGTATCTAAAAATTCCATTGTTTTTGTACTATTTCCCATTTCTAGTTGTTTTCTTTTAGTTTCAAGTGCTTTCATATAGGCAAGGAAAGATGTCCACATTAAACTGCAAATACTTACATAAACTACACGATTGTGTTCTGGAATTAACACAAAGTTAATAGTTTGTAAAATAGGCCATACGCATACTCCGATCTAAAAATAAAACAGATTACCATTTTTATTTATAATTTACCTTTTTTTTATACGATAAATTGTAAATTATACCTTGTAAGTTGGCCAGAATTTCTGTTTGACTTCTTCAATGCATTCTGAAACAGACTTTTGTTCAAGGAAATTCATTCCAAAGAAAAAGCAACACATTGCTGTTGGAGTGTATGTAACTTGTTCTACTAATGCCTGGAAATAATTCATATCAATAATAACACATTAAGTATATTTAATTCTATTAAAACACATATACAATATTTTTTGAATCTTACTTTTGTAATCGCAGATTTAAAATCAGATTTTGGCCAAAAATGTGAGGCGCATCTTAACCAACAATATAAAGTAGGTGCTACAAAAAAGCCACCATACAAACTAAATCTTAACGCTTCAGGATAATTCAATTCTGGTCTACCTGTTATTTTTTGCTGAAATAAGCTTGCAGTTGGCCATATAATGGTGTAAGATGCCATACCCCGTACTATGGGATATTTTTGTGATACTTCACGGAATTTAACCAAAATTATCCGCATATTTTTTTTATATATGTATATATATAATCACTAAAACAAAAAGATAATTATTAATTTACAATTATTATTTATTTTCTACTTTTTATCTTATACTAATTAATAATTATATATTTTTAATTCTTGTTAAAATTTATGCAATTTAATTAAATATATATATATATATATAATAGATATATTATTAATGACAAATTAAAGGAAAATTTAGAAAAAGATAAAAAAAATTACGTTTTGCGATAACGAATAATGTATATCTACTGTGGTAGATTTTCTCTTTCACATGTTTTTATTTATTCACACTGATAACACTTGGCATATCATATACGTGAAAAGGTCGTTGGAATTAATTGAATAAAAATATTGCAAGGCCCATCAACGGTTCTCCTTTGTGAAGATTCCGAAGATTTAGCCTTTTGATAATATCGTTGCATCGGGAAACGATTCACTACTACAGGAAACTTGCGCATATTCTCAATGACACGAACCTGACTTATGCGCGATACGCGCAAAATTTCTGTCTGTTACGAAATTAGTCGATCCATTCTTGTCTGTCCTTGATATTTGTTAGTGGTACTCCTTAATTACAGCTTAGTTGAATTTGGTAATACTTCAACTTTTGTTGAGCAAGCTTTGTAAAGATTAATGACGAGTCTTTCATTTTTTTTTTATAAAGATGCATCATGCATGATCCAAAAAGAAAGATCATATGTTAAAGTTGATATGTTTCTCTGTGACGTTTCAACAACTATTCTTTCGTAATACAAATGCTGACGTTAAAACGCGTCATACATGAACCTAATATTAACATAAACACTTGCTATTCTAAATGTAATACGTAAGAAAAGGAAAACGGTTTTTACAATGATTCATTAATCAGTTTTTAATATAATTTGCTCTAACCAGGTTTGGTAGTTCAAATATTAATGTTTCATTTTTATAATTATTATATTTTTACAATAGTATTCAAATATATCTTTTTATCCTCTATTTTATGAACAATATTATACAAAAAATATAACTCGATAAAATTTATTTATAGATATAAAAATATATAAAAGTTGGAAATGCTAAAATCTCTGTAATTATTACATTTTATGTACATTTTTCATTACAATATATTGTCTCATTTATATTTACATGGATTCAAATAGTTCTATTGAAAACAAGACAAAACTTCATACGTAGATTTTTATTAACATAAAATGATAATAATACTCGATTAAAAAATCGTTAACCCATGATTATATTCCAAAACTCAAAAATGCATCCTTATACTAGCGTTTCCCAAACCACATTCCGTGCTAGTTTATTTTATTTTTTATTAGTTTTATTTAACATAATTAATATTTGAAAATAAATTTTTTTTTTCTTTTCTCATATATTTTATATATTGATTTGCTTCATTGATTTATTATTAGCCTACCCTATAAAATAACTATGGCGTTCCTTTCAAATTTCAGAACTTACTATATACTATTGAATATACATAATTTCTTAAAATTATATATATTATGTATATTAAAAAATGTTCTCTGAAAAGTTTGAGAAACGCTATTTTATACAATGTTTAAACAAAATAAAATAATATTAATTAATCGAATTCAGCATAAGTACAAATATAAATTTCATATAATTAATTTTCCAGAGTTATTTTTAAATAGACAATTAAGTAATTTTTTTAGAGATTTTTTTATCACTTTGCATTCATTTTTGATGATAAAAAAATACTGCACATTCTAATATTTGTGATTTTGTTTTTACATCCATTATTTAAAATTATATACACTGCATATCAGCATCAATATTAATAATGTTAGAATAATTTCACTGATTTGTTATGAAGGTTCAATTGCCTAAGTTGTCCATTGATTTTCACTACTTTTAGTAAAAAATTGAAATTACTAAAAAACGTAGTGTTCACTTCGTTGTAATGTCAAATAAATCGAATATCCCTTCATTATCACTGAGATTAAATGCGTAATCTTTATCTCCAGGTGGTGGGCTTAATCTGACAAGCGGACCACAGACTATAAACACGCAATAAAAAAATGTCATGAAGTGTTCAAATTTATGGAATATATTAAAAGAACTAATTTAATACGATTACTTACTATCAGAACATATTTGGTCAAGTATTTCTATTTCCCCTTGAATTATGTCTATAATGAAATGGATTGAATTTTAATTAAAGATAAATATAAATTATTTTTAATTTCAATATTAAAGAATTATGAATATCACTTACCAGATGTATTTACATCGCGAAGAACTATCTTAGCCTCTATCATTTCTGGATCATCTTCATCTTCTTCATCAGATAACATAGGATTGTGCTTACTGTTACCTTTCGGTGGCCTGCAAATATATTTATATCTATATGTTTAACTATTGAATATTTTATTATATGCAAAGGATAATTAACGAATAATAGTTTTGTATGGTTTATACCAAATGAAAAACATATATTTAATAGTTATTCATCCCCTATAAGCCAATATAGAGTTACTATTTGCTCCTTGTTAATCAATAATATAACTTTACAATTATTAATATTTAAAGAGCAAATTTTGTAATATTAATAATCTCTTTAATTAGCTTTAAAATATAATTTAGTTGTAAAAATTTGTACCTTCCCACTTTCCTCTTTGGTTTAATGTTGCTATCCTCTTTCTTCTCGTCATCTTCTTTTCCTCTCTTCATGCCTTTTGTTTCTTCTTGCAACCTCATTTCTAATACCTTATTATCATAAGCTTTCGCTAATTCTGGCTGAACCATGTATACCTTGATTTCACCTGAATTACTTTTTAATAACATTTCATAATTTGGGTCTCTTTCTTCGTCGTTTATTACCTAACGAAAAAGAAAGAAAAAATGTTACAAATCACGCAGATAATATTTATATATATTCATATGTATTCACCTGATTCATATTTGGCACAGTTAATTCAGTATCCGGTGGTGCTTGAATTCCTAACACAAAGTCATCGGGAAAATTTTCTTTGACATCTTCGTAAGAAATATATGCATACTTTTTATTAATTAAATCACTTTCTATATTTTTTATACTCTGTTGAATCCACTGCGTATGCTTATCCAGTTGACGTTCATGATCTTCTAATTTTTTAAGTTCATCTTTAATTTCAGTCAATTTTTCACCAACTTCTTGCGTATTGCAACCAGGACCCGCACCTCTACATAAAACATATGATGCATCAGTATTTATATTAGATTTAACTTAAAACTAAAATAAATTAGATTGAATAATAATAAATTAATATACATACTTCCATTGGATACTATTTTTGCTTCTCTTCTCTATAAGACCTATTCCCTCAAGGACATTAGTAATATCATAAATGCGTCTTTTTTGTCTAACTTCTAGAATATCTGCGGCCTGCAATATTATAACAAAACATGTTTATTTTAATTAAAAAACAAGATATCCATTTAAAATAACAGTATCATATTCGTACTTCTTTATATATAGGTTATGTTTACTTGGCATATTGAATTAGAAGAAACGATTAATGTAAAAGAAAAGAAAATAATCGAAAGAAAATTAAATAATCTTTAGATACTTTTTTTTGGAAAAATATTTATACAAAGAATAATTGTAAAAATTATTATGTTATTGGTATACTTCTTTCAAAATTCCCGCAAGCTAGAAATGGCGTTTCATCCGTAAGGAACTTAACCTAGCGTGCAAGTTAACTTTTTGTCTTACAACTTAAATAAAATTACTTACGACTTTTAAATCGAGAATGCCGTCTTTCGCCTTTTGTAAAAGAGTAACGAATCGAGTAGTCAATAAACCAAGAGATTTTTCGAATCTACTTTGCTGATTATCTGCCATTTTTAAGACCGTTGTCAAAATTTTCAAAACTGACTACCCTCTTCGAAATTGCCGCAACACCTCGAACGCCATCACAAGCAAAGAGTACATAACTTTCAAATAAAAGCGCGAATATAACTTTCAATAATGTCTAAGTAAGCATTATATCAAATATATCTTTTTATAATTAACAATTTATTATAATTTTATTTTGTATTTAAACAATAAATAATATTTTTAAATCCGAAAGAGATATGACGCTTATAATTATTCAAATGAGAAAGAAGTAAATGGGATTTTTATGATATACAAAGATATGAGTATTTTAAATACATATATATTATTATATATTTTAATATTAATATATATAATATTTAAAATATTTGTTTTTACAAAATTTAGTTAAAAAAGTTATCTTTTCTAAGAAACATATAAATTTATAATATAACCTATTCTCTCTAAAAGATTATTTTTAATTAATTTTATATACAATTAAATGTTCTATGTGTATCACAATAAATACATATATGATCATTTACAATTTATATAAAATATATACAGTAACAAAAGTATTTACATATTTTTATTATGGAAAAATAAATTCATTAGTTGCAGTAGTTGCGTCGGGACTAAGACTAGAACTCGCAGAACTTAAAGTTTCCTCTTTAACTTTAAGCGTTGATGATGGATCTTTATCTTTAGTTTTATCTTTGTCTTTATCTTTTTCTTTATCTTTCGTTTTATCCTTATCTTTTTTATCTTTGTCTTTTCCATGTTTATGATCGTGCTTATGCTTATGTTTATGCTTGTGCTTCTTCTTATCTTTCTTCTTTTTCTTATTCTGAAAAATTAATAATTACGTAATGATAACAAATTAAATATAACACACATACACATATTCATAATAAACTAATATAATAGAATTTACTTTATTAATAGAATCAGTTTTTTGTTTATGTTCTTCCGAGTCTTTTTTAAACATTCCAGGTTCAAAACCTACAGGGCCTTGCGTTCCCATAATACCTGGTAGAGATGCAGAATTATCACTATAATACTCCGATTTTACTTTACCATCATTAGGTACTGGTGTAATACGTCCTTCCTGCTGGAAATAGAATAACAAGTTATTTTTTAGTATTATATCATGTTTATATTTTATGTAAAGAGTAAAAAAAAAGTGATCGTACATTGTTTATTTGCTTCATACGTTTTACTTCTGGAATGTAATCAGTAGAATTAGATGGTCCTGGTATATCTTTACTTGGCGATGCTTTGCGTTTATTAGCTCCGCTAATATTATCTAATTCAATAACTGATTCATGTTTTATATGTTGAATATTTGGTTTTACCTATATACGTGTACATATTAGAGTTAATTATTATATATTATCTCTGTGATTAAACATTTTTTTTTAAATAATAAAATAGTCACACATAAGAACCGATACATACTTCTCGTTCGGGGCTATTTTGAGGACCAATTTTTTTAGGTTTAGTAAGAAGTGAAAGTTCTGGTATCGGAAGACAAGCAGGTCGCTTTACACCATACAGAGTGTAGTATAAATCAACTAAGTCGCATCTCAATTTGGCATCGTGCGAAAGCATACCACTAAGTGATACAAATATTATGTAAGTTAATCTGTATTGGTAATAATTAATCAAATTAATATTTAATACTAATTAATTATACATACTTAATTAAGTTCCAAATGCGATCCACTAATTCAGGTTTGTCTAAGTGATGTTTTTGACCTTTTTCGAATGGTGGATTCTCAACCATTAATCTTACTAGCCTATGACGTACTCCAGGATGTGGATCCATCTCTGCCATGTCTAACAAAAATTCCAAATCTTCCCATTTACCATCGACTCTTGTAAAATCTACTAAAGCTTCTAGAGCTGCAATTCTTATATCTATTTGGAAGAAAAAATTAATCATTATTTTTAAACTATGCAACAATTATAATATAAGCAAATTATTTATTTTATCAACGTACCAATGAATTGCCCATATGCTGCATAGGATCTAAATAAATGAGGATTACTTGGAAGATGGCCAAATTTTTGTAAAATTCTTATAACTTTTAAGCAAGATACGCTAACAGTATATTTATAACAAGGTAATAATTTTTCTAAATTCAAGTTCCTTGTAACTTCTTCTAATATAGCCTTTGTATCAATTGATAAAGATTCAGCAGTGATAGCTGTCCTACAAAATTTCACGCATAACAAATTTAGAATATTATGATTGATTGAATATTTTATATTATAAAGAAAATTGTATTTTACCCTTGTTGCACACTAATGACCGGCGTTACTGTTGCTCCAAGTGCTTCAATTAAAGCTGCTCTATAATAATTATCTGAATATCTATTTTTACTATTGTCATTATATTTGAATAAATCCATTAGAAAGGACAAAACTTCAGGAGGACAAATGCCATGAGCATTCCGCAATCCTGCCATTGCAACAGGTATAGTCTGTAAAAAAAAATAACTAAGATAAAATTTTATAATTTATATATAAATGCATATGAAAATATAATAACATTAATATTTAGAAAAATATACAAACAAGATGAGAACTTACTTTTTGTAAAAAATAGTGTTGAAAATTTGAAAAATTATTTTGTTTAATAATTCTTCTACAAGATGCAGAACCAAATAACTTTCGAAAAATTGCTAACATCGCTGGTGGTCCTGCCCATGTTGCTACCATTGCATTAGCAACCTATATAAAATCAAAGTAATGATTTAAATCTTTAAAATTAAATTTTGATAATGATGTATTTTATAAATGTAGAATCTGAATATTACTTTTGTCAAGCAATGTGCTGCTTTAAGTCGCACTTTATAATAACAATGTTCATTTTCAATGGTATCTGTTAATGCAAGTCTTGTTGCAGGTGTTGAATGATTTTGCAATGCTTCTATAGCTTCCAATTGAGCTGTTACGTCTCTTTCATGTCTTAACTGATACTGCCACTGATAATCTGGTTGTTCAATATGAACTGCACGCATTAGAGTCATATCTGGATCTAATCTTATCCATAAAACTGGAGAATCGCTATAAATAAAAAAAAAATAAAATGATAAGATTTGGTTGGTCATATAATTTAACAAAACAATTAATTTTAATAGTTATTTACTCCATCGCAGAAAGATCCATATCAACTTCTTCTCCTGTACAAAGTGGAATCTTTTTTTTCTTATTTCTACGGCTTTTACTGTGACACGTTATATCTGCTTTAGAAGAAGTACCTTCAATTTGCAAAGTGTGTTTAAAAGTACCATCCAATTCTTGAATGTTCACCAGTAATGGTCCTACGTATTTTCTAATTCCTCTTTGATGGATTGTATCTTGCCGAATTTCCAACTCCACTGTATTTCTATATATTATGTAATTACATTTATATTGAATAATTATATTAAAATAAAAACAAGAATTATTGAAATATATTAAGCATACAAACCTTTTTCTATTGAACACGAAACTTAAGCTAAATTTAGCATGGCCACCTGTTCTAACCCACTGATCTATAAAAACAGCCATATCTTTCCCAGTTACTGTAAAAATAGCCTTTGTGAACACATTTGTACTAATTAACATATGAGACCACAGACCAGAGTCTATTTTTTGTTGAGCTGCATTTGCAGCAAGTGATAACTGTTTATTGAAGACCTAGAAAGTGAAAGATTTTACATTAAAGTTATTGAATAATTTTGTTCGATTTATATGGAGTAATAATCAGCATTGATAAATACTTGAAGAAGTAATTCCTGGCCTATCCTATGTTCTAACATTCTTATAACTAAATGGGCTTTTTTCCGAAGTACTTCAATGTATTTCGGTGACATAGTATGTAAATTTTTTATAGGAAAATAAAAACCAGGATCAGGTGCTCTAGGAGCAGGTGCTGGAGTATTTGCTGTAATGGGTAAAGGAGCAGGTGGTTGAGATGGATCCAATATGATACCTCCAAATTGTTCTTCATATTTTACGACCTCTTGAAGTTCCTGAAAATGAAAAGTATAATGTTTATTTATATTTAAAGGTGTTTTTTAAAGTGTATATTATATAAAATACAATTGAACAATTGATTACTCACTGATTGGATCCATTCTCTGTATTCATTATTGCCAAAACATTTTTTTGCATATAATCCTGTTAAATATGTTGATATGCCTTTTGGTAACCAAGTATCAGACCAATTTTGCATTGATATAAAACAACCAAAAAATTGTTCCGCAATTGCTTGCGCCATTGCTTTCTTTGTAATGTAAACTTGATCAATAATTGCAGTAGAATGCAATAAATTTGTACTATAAAAAACGATAATATGTTATAATATAATTTATAAGAAAAAAAAAATCAATGTTAATCACATAATTTTAATAGAACATATTTAGAAGATTTAATCTTACTTTAAAATGCTCATAGTTGCATATGCATTAATATCTTCGTCTATCTCATCAACGAACACTTGTTTATAACAGGAATATGGATATCTATTGGATAATGTTTCTTCGTAAAATTCGAATGCCTCATGCATATACTTTGCGGATACTTTTAAGGACGGTAACAAGTGTGGTAAACAGAAATGCGTTACTTCATGCATATAAGGATCCACAAATATTTCAAAAGGTCTGGAAACAAAGATAAAATAAATGTTAAAATTATAATATAACTATTACTTGTATAATGAATATTGCAAGCATTTTGAAAAAGTTCTTGTCAAACAAATATTAAATTAAAAAAAGAAAATTATTTACCCAACAGCAAGAGCAATATTTGGAGCGCACGCTGGAGTGTTGAGAACGTAATGGAAGGTTTTTCTGCGCATATCAGGGGTAAAAACAACTTCTACTAGATCTCCACAAGATATTGCTGTCATAGTATCATCAACTGTAAATTCTAATTTCCAAGTACAAGGTTCTGCAAAACTATCAACACAGGGAAACCACAATCTTGATGAATTTTCATAACTGTACGTATACATATGAGCACCTCTCTGTAAAATGTATAATTGATATATGGATGCATTTATATGTTATTCATTAATGTATAATAATAAATATACTTCTGCTAAAGTGCCTTCACAATTTGGTACTACAAAATGTACTCCGCCTTGTGGTTGCTCTAATGAAAACTCAATACCAATCCTTAAAGGTCGGCCTTCTCCAACTAAATGAGCTGCATCTGGTGGAATTTGTACAACTAATTCGCCTACATTATTATCTGTATCAACCTTTTGCGCTGCTGATAAATGAAGATTTGAAAAGAATTCCAGTGCTCGTCTATAGCGGTATTAATAATTATAGTTATTATAGGTAATAGAGATATATATATATAAGAATAAAATAGAATAATATTAAAAATACTTACTGTTTACCATCTCCTTGACATATGTCTAGAAATGGATCAAAGTATTGAAATGGTGCTTCATTAGATTCATTTAAGCATACTCTATATATTCTACATTGTTTTGCATTAAGTTTTACAAGTCTTAATGTATCTCTCAAAGGAACTATCGTCAATTCAACAAAGCCCTGCTTATAATATCAAATATTATATACTTCGATTTACATATTATTATTCAATATATAAATATGAATTATACTTACAATAATACTTTTCCTTGCAAAACTTATACCTGTCAAACTCACTATTTGATGAGCTGTAAAAATATAATTATTTTATCATAAAATTATTACAAATAAATATAACCTAAAAAGACGTTATCGAAATAAGCAACATAATTAAAGTTTATTTTATTTAGGAAAAAGAATACTTATAATTTATACGGTCTGCTGTTATCGGCTGTTCTTTCTTTCTTCATTGTTATTTCATATTTTTCATAAAAATTGTTTTGTTTTTATGACAAATATCTCAATTTTTTCATCGATAAAATTTAATAAAAACCTTCAAGATGGAGATCAGTTTACAATCTGTTGCAGTACTTACTGCTTGGGTTGCCAGAAAAGTTCGCTTGGTGATGCGCATGCGTCACTAGCAGCGCATGCGTCGCCAGAACAGTTCGCTTGGTGAATGCGCATGCGTCACTTGCAGCGCTTGGTGCATTCTCGTTGGTAATATCAGGTGCGCACGTGCACCTGTGTTCACAGCCCACAGGCGATAATAGCGCGTTATTATTTACCTTCTCACTTCTCTCTCGCTAGTAAAGGTTATATTACTTTTACATAAGCTGTATTTGTCAAAACGTGTGGCGATTCAAACAGTTTATGTGTGTGTGTGTGTGATATGTGTGAACATAAAGTATATTATATTATATATTTTACGATAAAAAGAAAGAATGCACAATTTTATTATTAATCTATGACATGACATTTTTTATTTAATTCAAAGATGAACGTAGCTCGATTAAAACACTCTCTAAGAGCACATCTGTACAAGTGTATTTTTAAAGGTTATTGTAATCAAAAATTGAATGGTATTATATTATTTTTGAATATCTTTATAGTATATATATAAAAATGTAATAAATTAAAAAAGTGTATTGTTATTTCCTGTAGATTTTCCAAAAACGTTTCCATCAAAAGATGTACTAAAGTGGTATCAGTTATGGGAGAAGAACAATTTTTTCAATTTACAAAGTAAAGATCCATTTAAAATGATATTACCACCTCCTAATGTAACAGGTACATTGCACATAGGACATGCATTGACTGCAACCATACAGGATGTTTTAGCGAGATGGTATTTAGAAATAAATTATTCTATAATTTGTTGATATTTTAATTAAAATTATTTATATTAATATTTAATTTATGTTTTATTATTAAATAGGTACAGAATGAAGGGCCATCCTGTAATATGGATACCTGGATTAGATCATGCAGGAATTGCAACGCAAGCTGTAGTAGAAAAATATCTTTACAAAACTAAAGGTTGTACAAAAATGGATATTGGAAAAGAAGAATTTCTTTCTCTCATTTGGGAATGGAAAAATGAAAAGGAAAGCGTAATAAAAGATCAGCTAAGATTATTAGGAACTAGTGTTGATTGGTCCAAAGAATATTTTACGATGAGTAAGGTAATGAATTATTTAAGTACTTTTATTTTAATTATGTTAGTTGATGTAAAGTGATGCTTTTATTATAATTATAGAATCATAATTTTGCAGTAACCGAAGCATTAATTAAATTAAATGACAAAAATATGTTATATAGAGAAAAAGATTTAATTAATTGGTCTTCATCTTTACAAAGTGCTATATCCGATATTGAAGTTGAATCTATAGAATTAACAGGAACAACAGAACTAGAAGTTCCAGGTTATAAAAAAAAAGTAAAATTTGGGCAATTAAGTAAAATAGCATTTAAAATTAAAGATACAGGTATTTGAATGACATTTTATTTCGTTATTTTTTATATAAAAATATTTTTATATCTTATTTTTAAATTTCGTAGATAATGAAGTAATCATTGCAACAACTAGGCCAGAAACTCTATTAGGAGATGTAGCTATAGCTGTTCATCCAGAAGATGATAGATATAATAAATATATTGGTCAGTACGTTTGGCATGATCTCAGAGAAACTTTTATACCTATAATCGGAGATACTTTTATTGACAGAACATTTGGAACTGGTAGGTAATTCAGTAATATCAAACATTTACTAAATATATTTAAATTTATATATTATAAAATATATTACCAATATTTAAATATAGAATTTAATATATCAGAAAATGTAATCATCAGGTGTAGTTAAAATTACTCCAGCGCATAATCGTCTAGACTACAAAATTGCGAAGAATCATGGTTTAGAGATTATTGATACTATAGATGAGCATGGAAATATAATAACAAATAATAATAATTATAAGGTATATTCAATCAAATCTTTATTTTATTCTTATTTTAACATATAATCAGTAATACATAAATTTAATACATAAAAGGGCCTTCCAAGATTTCTGGCACGTGACAAAATATTAAATGAATTAGCCAATAAAGGCCTTTTAAGAGGTATAGAAAGTCACAAAATGATTATACCTAGATGTTCAAGATCTGGTGATATTATTGAATATTTATTAAAAGAACAGTGGTTTATTAGATGTAAAGATATGGCTGAAAAAGCATTACAAGTTGTAAAAGATGGATCTTTAAAAATTGATCCTACTATTTACGAACCATTGTGGTATAATTGGTTAGAAAATATTAGGTAAATGATGTCATTTAAGCAAATTAAATGATTGAAACATATTTAAGATTCATAAATAATTACAAATTAAAAATAAATAACATCATACTATCAGGGATTGGTGCATTTCAAGGCAATTATGGTGGGGTCATCAAATTCCAGCATATGAAATTAAAAGTGACCAAACATCTGAGTGGCTAATTGCACGTTCTAAAGAAGATGCATTGCTTATTGCACATAAGAAATATGGTTCAAACGTTGAAGTACGTCAAGATAATGATGTTCTAGATACATGGTTTTCTTCTGCGCTCCTTCCTTTTACTACTATGGGTTGGCCACAAAAAGTAATTATTTATTACATAATTATAATTAATGAAAATAATATTGTAATATTAATAATAAATAAATATTTCAGATGGAAGATTTTCAAAAGTATTATCCTCTAACACTAATGGAAACTGGACATGATATTCTTTTCTTTTGGGTTGCACGAATGGTGATGTTAGGATTAGAATTAACAGGACAACTACCTTTTAAAGTAATTTTATACTTTTAAAAATGTAAATTCCATACAAATGATCATGCATCTGTTTAAAAATAAAATGATTCTTCTTTATAGGAAGTTTTACTTCATGGTATCCTGTGCGATGCTCAAGGAAAGAAAATATCTAAGAGTTTAGGAAATGTTATTTCTCCTGAAAGTATTATTAATGGTATATCTTTGCAGGTATATATTACAATTTTATTAGCTTGTAATATAATACATTTTACTTTATGCATTAGTAATTAATTGTATAAGATTTTGTATATTTATAGGATCTCAATGAAAAAGCAAATGAAAGTTATAAAGATGGTATTCTTAATAAAAATGAACTTAAACGAACTTTAATAGTTAATGGTAAAATGTTTCCAAATGGAATACCAACTTACGGAGTTGATGCATTACGTATGACATTATGTTCACACAATATTAAAAGTAAATGGTTTATAATTTAAATACACATATTAATTTACTTTAAATGATCAAAAATTTAATTACAATATTTTAATAGATCGTACTGTCTCCTTCAATATTATCGAATGTCAACAAAATTATTTCTTCTGTAACAAAATTTGGCAAGCAAGCAAATATGTATTGTTAACAATATCTCCAGATAAGTGTCATAAACCTGAAACGTTTACAACTTTAGATTCTTGGATTTTAAGTCGATTATCATTAATGGTGGACAAAGTTAATACAGCATTTACAGAACGAAACTTTTATAAGGCAGTTACTGCAATAAAACAATTCATCTATAATGAATTTTGTGATATTTATTTGGTAAATTTAACTTTTCTAATCAAAAATTATTTGTTACTATAAAATAATATAAAGAAATAAATATATTAATAAAATTTTTATAGGAAGCCACCAAATGGGGTTTTAAGAGCGAAGAAGAACATATAATTATAAGCCATACGTACACATTAATCAAATGTTTAGAGGTGTCCTTACGAGTTCTTACTCCTATCACACCGTTTCTAACAGATGAATTGTATTCAAGACTTTCTACAAAATTACCATCCTTTTTATCAGTATCTTCATTATTGGAAGCATCTTATCCTACAACAGATGAAGTAAGAATATAAATTTTATTCTTCACTTCTTTTTATTTTTAATATTTTTGAATAATATGAAATATTTGTATGTCTACAGTTTAAAGATCTACGAAACGAATCATTGGATGAAAGAATGAAGAGTGTACTAGATCTAATAACTGAAATTCGAAGTTTTATTGCTAATATTAGTAAAAAATTAGAACCAGAAGGTATAATTATATTAATCTAATAAAATTAAATTTTGTTCTTTTAAATATCTGTGTTTCTAGTTCACATTGTGGTGGATGATTTAGAAGACCATGAATTTTATACAAAAAATATAAATTCGATTAAAGGAGCTAGCAGGATATGGAACATGTCAATACATTTGAAAGAAAATTATGTTAAAAATATGTATAGTATTCAAGAAGAACTTCAATCAAAACATTCTCTATTCTTATCAGTAAAGGTATGTAATAATTAATTCATTATATGTTCTATTATTATAGATAAATTTAAATTTATTTGAAATATACAATTGGGTTTTTTTTTTTTATTCAGGATAAATCAACGTTAGATCAAATATTAGAAATAATAGAGAAAAGAAAAATAAAAGCGGAAAGTAAATTAAAAAAATCGATAAAACTTTAAATAGGAATAGAAGGTAAATTATTTAAATATTGCATTTCTTTTTTGGTCTTGTTTTCAAAGCAAGAATATGGACATGTATTTATTTTTATTTATATATCATATATCAGTATGAAAATGGTCAGTATGCTTTTACAACAGAAATATTTCTAAAATTATTCGATTTACACATATAATAAAATTTTTAAATATTGGAATACTTTGCAAGTTGATTTGAATACATTATAAATATCACATTACACATCATGGTACAGGTAAGAATTTTTATTTTACATTTTATATCAAAATGAAAAATATTTATTGTAAAAAAAAATAAAAATATATATTTTCTTAAAATATGAGGAAAAAAAAATATAAGGAATCTACAAATACTACTTGTGGAACTTCGAACAATGCTTTTCATTTATTAATTAATTATGTACAGAATCTCGTGTACAGTGCTATAAACACATTTCTATAGTGACACTTGTAAGGCAGAAGAGTGTTGTGTTGCACAAGAAACATATTTCACAGAACTCTTTGTTTTAAGAAATTATTACAATTTAAATGGATCAAAAACTTATCGTTTTTTTTTTTAAATTGAATTCTGTTTGTCTTTCTAATACTATTTTTTTTTTTTTTTTTTGGAAGATCATGTTGAATAACTATTATTATTATTAATCTTATAGAAATTTTTTATTGGAATGCAAATAAGAACAGATCGATCGAAAACTTTGTCCATATTATTATATCGTATAAATTTTGACTGAATATTATCGTGAACGTAATAAAAATACAAGATTTTTTTTCCCGTTTTCGTTTACTTTTGTTTTTCTTTTTTTGTTTTTTTTTTTTACATCGCATCGTTGCATGGGCATACACTCAAGCAAATAGTAGGCACTGCATCTAAGTACCTTTGCCTTGTTGAATGTAGAAGCTAAAGCACCTGTTGTGAAATATATCGTTACAATGACTTTCCCTAAAGAGCCTCATATCCAAGTTACTTAAAACATTATAGTCCATAATGCTACATAATACTTGTTCTGTGAAAACAGATATCGAGTAAACCAAGTAAAGGCACAAATGTCCTCAATTTGGTTAGCTCTTTTTTTGTACAATTATATATTTCGTCTATCTCAGCATGCAAATGTCAAACAATACAAGATAAACCTGCATCAGTTGAATATATTCTTTCAACTACTTGCATTTATATCGAATACGTAGTATAAATAACAATTTTCCAAAGTTTGTTAGTAGTCCTTATATAAAAAAAAAAACTTAGGACATTCCACTTGCAAAAGTTGACTTGTACATTGGCATTCTGGGAACATATTTATTAACATCAAAAAATTTGATAAATGTAATTGAGCGTTGAAAAGTCCAGTATTCAAACCGCATCAATACCCTGCCGTAATTAGTGCCCAGCGCCAATGCTGTAAAGTATAATTCATGTGATCTAATGAAAATAGAGACACAAGATGTTCTAGACATCCGTACATAATTCATACTGATATGATTTTCTTTTCCTATATTGCCATATATTTTTAATAAATCTTAACGTTTCATTTGGCATCCTTAGACGTTAACGTTGTATCTGATGGTGTACTTTGCAAAGAGCAAACAATTTTGTTTTCAGTTAATGTTTTATCATTTTCGATGGAATTTTTCATATATTCATTCTTACTATCCTCTCTGGTTTCAGGTGTCCTAAATAAAAATAATGATAATTTCATATTATCCAATATTTTCGATTGATTATAAAATGATTTGATAAATACCTTTCACTTGGATTGGCATTCTTGTCAGAGGTACATACAGAATATATACTATCATCACTAGCTTTACTGTTTTGATTTGCTTCTATAGACAGACGGGATGTACTATCAACCAAATCTACAATTATAGAATCTCCACCTCCAATATTTTCTACAGATTTATTTTCCAATACTGTTTCCTTTTCAACCAAACTTGTTGCTGCATCAACAATGTCTTTTGTAACTGTTTCGCAAGTTTTATTATCTACGGCAATATTATTTTCTATGCTTAAAGTACTTTCAAAATTATCAAAGTTTGCCCAACCAGTAGATTCAAGAGGTTCTGATGGTGCAACATCCCATGGGTTTACCTCTGGAATTGTTGTATTAGCTGGAACTGAATTCCAAACTGTAATTTAATGCATAATTAAAGTATTTATTTAAATATATTATTAAGAAAATATATTTTCAATCAAATTTTACCATCTGAAGTATCAATTTCCATAGGCATATCTCGAGGATCTTCATCGTCTTCATCAGATGAACTAGATCCATGATGTTGTTTTGAGTGCCAATCTCGTTTGTCTACTACTGTTTGGAAAGTCAAGTCACCTTCATCGGCCCATTCAGTTCCACCGCCACATTCCTCAAGTCCTGCTTTTTGTTTTTGCTGACAGATCTAAATATAAAATTACATTTCAAATAATAAAGTAAGTACATTTAAAATACTACGAATAAATAATGAAACAGAATAAATGATCTATACCTTATCAAATAGATCTGCTCTTGGATCCATTTCTTCATCGGCGAGATTAATCCTTTTAAAGGCCAACGCTGTTATTTCATCAGCGGAGCTACTATAATAGTGTTTTTTTTCTAAACGTTTACTAAGAGCAAATGTAATACTGTTGTTTGCAGTGTTACATTCTCTTTGTGTTATTATAATTTAACGCTCCATAGACATTTACTGTTTAATTTACAATACTTAGAAATATAATTTAATATACTTACTGAAGTGAATCATCCCCAGCATCAAATTGATTATCACGAAATCCATAATTATCAATAAAAGTGGATGTCATCTGTTGACTCTGATAGTTGGTGTACATCTAATAATAAAAAATACCGTACAGTATCCTATACACACTCATGTGTACATTTCAAAATATATCATAGATATCTCTCATACCTCTTTCAAATAGTAGCGATCCGGAGTATCTTCAGAATTGGCCATATTTGCTGTTGGTCTAATCTAAATATTATAAATCATAATAAAATAACTAGAATTATTTTTTTTTTTTCATTATTTTTATTTAATAAATAAGATATTAATAATATGATTACCAAGAAGATTGCACGTGTTTTGTTGATTTCCACTAGTTTTGTATTCACAAGTAATTCCCACTTGTTAAGACATTCGGTTGATAAATTTGTTTTTACAAAAGTATCAAGCGCATTATTTTTTTCACATTGTTGTGCAATATTATTCGCTATATTTATTAAGTGACCCATGTATCCTTGTCTAACACCATTCTCTTTGTTTCTGTAATTAACAGCATTAAAATTCATTATTTAATTGCCATTTAATCACATTTACATTTTTTTACATAGATTATCATTTTCATATAAAAACTTACTGTTTATTCTCATTCTTTTCCCAAGCTTCCAAAATACGTTCTATCAATCTGCATTTAACAAATATCTACAAAAATAAAATAGTTGATCAAATAAAAATATTTGTTATCAAAGCAAAATAAATATTGACACTGTCAGAGACATATTACCTACATTGCCATAAATATTATTATTATCTTGATAATCACAATTAATAGCTAAAGCTAGGCATTGTTGTACTTGTGTGTGTAAGAAATTGTTCCATGTGTATTTGAAAAATAGATCCTGCAAATAATATAAATAATACAATAGTATGATTCAATTTGAAAATGAATAAATTCAATTAATAAATTTACATAGTACTGATATTAACCAATAAAGTTTGGAATGTTCCTAAATCTGCCAATGCTTCATGAATCTTTATATTTTCGGTTGATAACAAGGCCATTAATAATCTTGCGACATGCAAGCGTGTTTTGCCCAATGGACAATCTAAAATTCCAGCTGTTGTTTTTACAGGAGCTTTCTATAATACAAATGAATATCTATTACTATACATGTACATTATATAAAATGCTTCTTAAGGTGATACTTACAACTGGCGGATCTAAAAGAAGTTTATGAAGTTTTTCCAAGTAGGGTATAGTAGCATTAGAAATGTTAATACATTGTTCGTTATCATCTGTCATGTCTTCGCTGGAACCATTTCCATGAACGTCGACTTCATTTAAGGCACTATATATGCATATGAGACAAATTTTTCTATAGAAAGATATAAAATACCAATAAATAAATGTACAAAAATTATTTGCATACATACGTGTTTACTTTTTGACCCAGAAGGGTAAGAAGCACTTGAATCCCACCCACAATACTGCTTTCTGATTTTTCATCTGTCAAGATTGTCTCTAATAATAAACTTACAGTCTCTTCTCTGAAAAAAAACAACATTTAAAATAACGTTATTATAATATCAAATATGAAAACAATGTCTGCGTTAAATATACTTACGACTTTAAAGTATTCAAAATAGGACCTGGTTTTATTTGCTCCGTTGACGTACGTTGATTTTCTCTTGCTACGATTACCATGTCGCAAAGTAATTGAGAAGCATTTGCGTGTTTTGCTGGCTCTGACGTAGGAGACAATAATTTAATCAACCTTTGTACTAACTGTTGACTATCTAACCACTTGTTAACAAAAAAGGAATAAATAATTAGTGAGTATTTAACAATAATATATAAGAAAACGTTTACATTATAAAGAAAAAAGGATTTATTACATTTAATATATTTTGTCGCAGGTGACCTCCTTCAACTTGAGTTACCAGTTTTAATATTAAATCCATAATAGCGGAAGTCTCTAAATGTTGTAAGAGTAAGTCTACGCAATTTTGTTGGCCTTGAAGAAATTCTATAACCTGTAAACATGTGAACTGATAGGAATACCAGTTCTGATAGTAAGGATAAGAAAGGATAGGCAGAAAGAGGATAAGAAAAGAATGAAAATCATTATTAATTTGCCATGTTCTATGCCAGGATCTATTTGTCAAAATATCTTCAAAGACTAATTAATTATAGCAGCAAATTGTATTTGAAAATTTATAATTACCTGATCACTCTTACGAGCAACAAGTACACCAATTGTTTTACTGAAAAACGATGCTAATAAGGGATTTAAAGGTTGATCGGTGTCTATAAAAGCATATAACTTGTTCAGAAGTGTTTTGTCACCTAAAATTAAAATTCGTTATACTTGGTCTTTTGAATAATAACACCCATTATATAGGTTTATTCTAAAATACCTGCTAATTTCTCATTAAGCGTTGGCACATCGCAAGTAAGTAATTCACATGCAACATTAGGATATTTGTATCGCAGACGTTCTTCAATATCAATAGATGGTTCCATAGTTGTAAGCATTACCAATTCTTCCATTACATCGGGCCTTATAAGACTACGAATAAAAAGATTAATGTATTAATATATAAACTAATTAAATCCCATTCGTTGCAATGAATAGAAAAAGAAAAGATTTAAATAGACTTACTATTCGATTAACTTTTTGTTTTGACTCTTACATTCTTGTAAGATGTCCTCTTCATCCATTAATTCATGCAACGTAACATTCTGCAAATAGTGACAATCGCAGTAAAAAAAAAAAATACGTTTAGAAAAATCATTGAAACCATAACATAACACCAAATAAATGTAACACCCACCTCTTTGTTAAGCAACGCTTCAATATGAGGCGACGATACGTAATTATTAGTCCAGAACATGATGCGATGGTATTACTCGGAGTGGTTAATCGTCGTTAATTTTTATCACAAAATGCGATAATCACAACATTGGTATGCCGTCTACTAAAAAAATAACGTAATACGTCTTGAGCGCAAAGCGGCTAACTACTAACATTGCATGAAAGTATAACGATTCGATACTATTAGAAAAAATCTTCAACGGTATTTGTAAACGCAACGACGGATGGGAAACACTAACGGTATAGAATTATTTTATTCCCACTGATAATAATGTTATAATAATAATATTCTACGATGTCATTTTTCACAAATGGAAAAATTAAGAACGAATAGATATAGTTTTATTAACATTGACGTTAGCCGCAGAAGAGAACCTTTTTAAAGGGAGCACCAAGTTAAGAAATGCTTCTAATTTCACAGTATGCTTGAACTATAATAATCACTTCAACCGAAGACACAATTTCTAGTATAATATATGTATTTCTTTGAAGTTTCAAGTGGTCATCCAAGTTTACATTTAGATGCAGCTTTAATCGTTCAATGTGTATCACGCTTTACGATTTTACCGATGCATGCACCTTGAAATCTGAAATGAGAGATCTACGATAAAGAGGCAGCACAAGAGAACGAGTACAGTTTAATCCTTAAAGTAGAAAGAAGACTAAGGAGGAAAAGAGAGATTCTATTATCAGGTTCTTTTTAGATATACATACATACTTTATCTTGCTTACTTACTCACTTACATTACCTTATAAATGACGGAAGTTAGACTTTCGCCATCTTAGTACGTCACTTTTTCTTTATTCCTGTTATTTATATACTTTTTTAATAATATGCAGAATAGATTTGCAATTCCATCATATATTTGCATAGTAATATTCGAAAGTACTTAAGAATTAAGTATATGTTAATATAAACAATCAAGTAAGAATAGTAAAAGAATGATATCTTTTAAAAAGTTGATATGTCGAATCAATATAAACTATCCATCGTTTAAATTTGGCGCGCATGAAAATCGAATAAGCAAGATAATGAAGATCTATGTACTTCCGTCGTAAACCGTAATAAATACTCTCTTGTTAACCTTTCTACTTTAAAGTCGGTATATTTAAATGTGTAGGATCAAGAAATAGAAAAATATCTCGAGATTTATTTATATGCACATATATATATATATATATATATA